CCCTATTTTCCACATGGTATGACGTTTTTCTCTGTAAATTCAAAGGCAATGTTGGAGGTGCATCTTAGCTTTGTGTGTGTGACCAGATTTGTATAACTTCAAAATCAGAATATTTATTTATACTGGAGTAATCCGAGAAGTTATATGGCTCTTTTTCACACATGTCCAGTAGGGGCGGGTGAAAACGTTACAACACCGAACAATACAAAAACACGATAGTAGTGTAAAGTACAAGGTAAAAAAAATCACCAAAACACATACAAATTAAACTAAAACCATCCACATCCTGCCAGACAAAGGCCACTGAGTATAGGAAAGATAAAATCACTTAAAAACATGCAAAACTAAACTATGTTTTATCTTACCAGGTAAAGGCCATTGAGCTATTATTTTCTTTTTTCAGAAGCGACCTGGCCACAAATGATAGTTCAACGAAGTGGCTTATCATGTGGAAATTTATTGCAGCAAAATAATCTAAACTTGACACTGGGCTCAAGTTTCGGGTGCGTCCTACTTTCTTTAGCGTCTTATAATCTGGAGAATGTGGTAGTTTAGTGTTGCTAGACTCACAAAAATACTCTTGTAAATAATTTGATGAGAAATTATTTTTAAAAAATCACAAACCGATAGGACTGGAATTTTTTTAATTCGCTTTACAACAAAGTTAAGGAATTTAACTGAGATATAATGGGGAGTTCAAAGAACATAGCAAGTCTGGTGTAATTTGTAATTGTATTAATGCCAATATTTTGAATTTCTAATCTCCGAGAATTGTAAATATTTAGGGGTATTCAATAATGTTTAGATCTCCACTTCTGCCTCTCGTGTTTATTCTGATGGTTTGCGTATTCAATTTAATCTCATTTAGGCTGGTGTTATTTTCTGTCGAGTAAAATTAAAGGTGTATGTACGGTAGCCCTGAAATGTATTGCCCAAGTCACTGCTAGTAGAACGATCTCCACAAGAGGGAGCCCTAGAGAAATGTAATGTAACTGTAAATGTGTATTTTCTCCCCAACACTGTACTAGTAACGAATTGGCATGTTCTGTTTTACGTGACAAACCTAGTTATTGTAGAGTACTGTGCGTTGTCTACTGTACTGGTCATGTGGTTGCTTCAGTGGTTGAGGATACATGGGTCTCCCCCATCCCCCCACAACCCTGCCCCTCCACCCTCCCACCCTTCACCACCCCCTCCATTCCCCACTACCCCTCCTCTACATTTCCCATTGGTCTCCCCTCCAGCCACTACCAGGCCTAGTCATAGTCAACCCGCCCCTCTATCTGCATATGAGGAGTGGGGGGGGGCGTTATAGCGAAGCTGCCCCTCTATAGCCCTGCCAAGCGTTAGTCATAGAATGACAGACCTGGGTGTTTATACATATTTCTATATATTCAACGTTTTATGTACATGAGATTAATAATGATGGATATTGATGAGGCGTTACATGCTGAAGATCTCTTGGAAGACGATTTTGGTGTATGCAGACTTTCACGTTGTTGCGACTTCTGCAGCGAGAAAGTGCCACGTAGAGCTGTCCGTGTGAGAATGCGGCGGTCTTCAGATTGATTCCGAAATGATTAAAAGTTTGTCCCTGTGACTTGTTGATAGCAATTGCATAAGCAGGAATGACCGGGAACTGTCGTCGTTTAAAGAAAAAGGGAAGAGTAGTGTCGGTTGGAGCCAGATCGATTTGAGGAATAAAGACCGTGTCGCCTCGGTTGCACTCGGAGATGATTTCAGCTGTGATGAAATTGCGCTGAAGACTTGTGACAATCAATCGCGTTCCGTTGCACATTCCCTTCTTCGCATTCAGATTTCTCAGCAGCAGGATTACAACGCCTTTCTTTAGCAGCAGAACGTGCGACGGCATACCTGAAGGTGTATGATCGTTGAGAAACTCAACTGGAAAATTCATAGCATCGCTGGTATCTTGGGAGACTACAGAATCAGTGCTATAATATATCTCCGGATCTCCTGGGATGAGTCATATGATCTGTCGATTAAGCTCGAGTGTTTGTTCATTTGTTGAAGACACGATCACTCATTTTGCCAAGTCTTCGACCGACAATTGATAGATCTCAGTTCCGAAGATTTCTCCAATAAGATCGGCGTTCGTTATCATTTGTAGAGGAATTTGGATGACTTTGTCGTCGTTGATTCCTGGAATTGGTGCGCCATTTCCAGTTACAACTTGCAGAAGCCAAGTATTGTGGTCTTCTTGTCCTTCGCTACGCATGTTGGTCGTGAGAGTGAGATTCAAGAAATGTCTCCGCAGCGGACTCGATTTTATGGACGTCTCGATGATATCCGTTCTTGTTCCTCGTGGCATGACTGGCAGAGTTTGACGGAAATCTCCAATGACGAAAGCTTTTCTTCCAAACAGTTTCTCGTTCTGCATGATTTCGCGAAGAAGCTTATCAATGCAACGCAGTCCATGCTTTGGAAGCATCGTGATTTCGTCGATGATGATGAGTTTGGCTATGCAAAGGACTTGCGCTTCAGGTGAATGCGGTCGTATTGACGAAACGGAAGTGTCGAGTAGTGGATCTGGAAGCTTAAATCCACTGTGCACCATTCGTCCTCCTTTAAGCAATGTTGCTGCAATTCCAGTTGTGGCAAAAGGAAGCACTGCCTCTTCTCTTCCTCGAATGAATGCCATCAAAGCTTTGTAGACAAAAGTTTTTCCTGATCCTCCAGGTTCCGTCGAGATAGAAGTAGCTATTATCAATTTCCTTGTCGTCGACTGCAGCCACGATCTTGGTAAATGCATCCAACTGCTTGTCGTAAAGCATGGCAACTTGTCTGTCTCCTTCCTCATTTTCAGCAACTGGATCGAAAGGCTGCTCTTCCGTTAGATTTCCAGTCGGTGTTGGTAAACCTATTATGGCACATGAGAGTCCGTGTTGCTTTAGAACTGCGTTGATGTCGTGCAGAGCTTTGTTGACCGCTGTGTCTTCCGGGAAATTGCGCATGTAGTCGAGGGACATATCGTCGCAAAACTTGTCCCACAATTCCCGAGCACTTGTTAGCTGAGCGAAACAACAGATGTAGGCAAAGGTGTAACGCAACTGCTTCGGCATCTGATAAGTTGCTGCTTCCGTGAAGCATTGATCCCATTCCGCTTGAGACTCCAGAAGGCCTTATGCTGCTACGGCTTCTTTGAATGTGGCGTAAATCACGTTTTTGAATGTTTGTCACAGGCAGAAATGCTCCTCGTCTTTGAAGGTGACGGTGTACAAGCGTGACACTATCTTGTTGCCTCCTCGATGACGTTTTTGCCAGTTGTTTCGAACGTAAACATAGTGGAGCGGAATATCGGTGTACAGCAGCTGTCGTGCATCCTGATCGCGCTCGTTCAGCTGGAACCACGACTCAAGCTTTGTGTGTCCGGTAGTCACTGCATCTAAAGCTTCCTGTTCATGTCCTTCTTCGAATGTGATGCACTGCTGATTCGGAAGATGCACTGGTAGTCGCATAACTGCATGGGATCGATCATGCATCTTGCTTTCCAGCAATCGCCAGATTGCTTCCGGTGCACCGATGTATCGACAATCGATGAAGTTGGTGATCTCGTTGTATCGCGGCTCCGGTTGTCCTGTGGATGTGATTGCAATGTTGGCACAGTCGCATCCTTTGAAAATGTACTTGTAGATGTACTTGATTGCCCGCAGCGACGTACAAACTTCGACGTTGATGTGGCAGTTGTATTTTAACGACAGATACGGACTGTACTGCACAACGTTGCGACTATCCATTGTGACTCGTCTGACTGTTGCTTGAACTCCTCTGCGGCGACGATAGAGCGGATATCCATTGACGTTCGTCTGTGTTGTGTCTTTGAACTGCTTAGGAAATTCCTTTTTGCATTTTTCCTTTTGCATGCATTGTGCGGAAGGATTATTGACACCACACGGTCCGTGCATCATGGTCTTCGTGACGATTTCGTAAAGTCGTGGATTTTCGGATTGAAGAGGAATCTCGGCACAGACAAATTGATCTATTCTCTCTCTGGTTGTGAACTTATCCATCCGCACGAAGAGTGAGCAGGATGTGAGCGTGCAGCAGACCTCGCTTATGGAATTCTATGGTGTACACCCATGCATTCGCTTTTCCCAAAGCTCCATGAACAGTTAAGTCCTCGATGAGTGATTTGAGCTTGAGTTTGAAGACAACCAAATCTGGCCGATCTGATGACTGTTCTCCTGGATGTAAGTTGGCGACGATTTCAGGCCAATTGGGATCCGCTGTCATGGTAATGAAGAGATCTGGTACACCCCATTTGTGGAAAAATGACAGCGTCATTGCAACGCTCGCACATGTTTCGAGATCCTTTGAAGTTGAATGGCAAGATGACTGCGACGCCGGCTGCAACTTTCGCATTGTTGGCGAGATTAGCAACGTGATCAGCGAGTCCGTGATATTGCTCCGCACGAAGTCGTTGTTAATTTTGTTTGATGAAGTTGAGATTGTTGGCTTCCACTTGCAGATAGGAATCGTTACTCTTTGGTTCTATTCGGTAAAGTCACGTAGGTAAAAAATAAAACAAAAATCACGACGTTTTGGCCACAACACAAGTGGCCTTCATCAGGTGAAGGGGACCATACTGTCACGAGGACAGCGTTGGAGTGAAGACAGTCCAGCTCAGGTCGCGTCCTTTTAAGTTGTGTGGGAGGAAACAAACGCTTTGACAAAGGAATTAGCATAAAATGACCGTAAAGCACAAGAGGACCGGCACGGAGGGGGGGAGGGGGTGTGAAGTGGAACGTAGAGGACCGGTACGGGGGGGGGGGAGTTTACAAATGTAGGTGTGAAGTGAAATAAGCTTCTATGAAAGTTTGGTATATCACTATTTGGATAAATACCATTGAAAATTAGTTTAATGTTTGGTATGATTTAGAACATCTTTCCAATGGTTGCTTAATTTGAAACCATCTTCTCGGTTGAAATTGTGTCTGTGTTTGTAAATCTGAATCTAAGGCCACTTGTGTTGTGGCCGAAACGTCGTGATTTTATTTATTTATTTTTTGCCTACGTGACTTTACCGAATAGAACCAAAGAGTATGGATCCTTGCAGCCACGAAAGCTTCAAATCTAGATAGGAATCGACCAGCCATTGCTGCGTCAATTTTCCAGCACTCATGACTGAGTTGAAGCAGTGGCGAAGAGCAGTTTGTGCTGCTCTGTACTGCAGCATGCTGACGTTGGTTCGAACTCTATTGATCTGCGCACCTTCGTAGGCTTCGCATTGCCACGTTGGCTGCCATCCGCGTTGACCGTATGGAAACAGCAGCACATACGTCATCGGATCCATATTGGGACTCAAGATGTTGATGAACGGCTGATTCGGATCTTCTAGATTTTGTGGATAGATGTGAACGTCACGATGAAATGGCGGCTCTCCATCTTCGTTGACAAACACCATTGCAACTTCATTCGATGTTGGAGAATTGTAGCATTGTTGATCCGATAGAGGATCTTGTCGAAACACCATGTTCACAACAGGAAGTTGGTCACCTTTGATTTGTGATTCCGCAATTTACTGTGTTTCGACCTCACGCATCAGCTGATAGCTTTGCGCGATTCTGTTGTGCTGTCTGAAGAAACAATCCAGTTAATTCAGAATCTGACGCTGGCATTGATCATTAGCTTGTTGTCCTTGTAGAGTGTCTGTGGCTTGCGTGCTGTCGATGATGTACAATTGCGTGTACTGCGGCTGTTGATTGTTGAGCACCTGGAGATGTTATGTCCGGTGGTAAGTTTGTCCCTGAACCTTGAACACATACGGTCCACGTCCAGGCAGATCCATGATCTTTGCTCCCATCGATGCAAATCAGACAGCATTGTTGTAAGATTGGATGTGGTCACGGAAATGTGTACGACTTGGTGAGTTGACATCTGATATGAGTTGACGGAGGAATTCGGGATATTCCAGCTCGACTCCGTTCTCATCTTGTGGCTTCGGCAGCTTGACTTTCCTTTTCGGCAGCAGCTTGTGAACTTCCCATCTGATGGATGCTCATCCTTAAAGTTCTTTGAATCACAGAATTGGCAGATGAAACTCAGCGGGCCGCAATCCTGAGCATGAACTCGTTCCTCTACAAAGTGAATTGCTTAATCGCAAATTATCTGGCTGTAAAGGTCTTGAGCTACACGGTGCACTTCGGCGTCAACTGCTCATTGTGCTTGCGATTCTTCAGGCGTTTCCGCTCTCGTGCTGCACGCTGCGACTCAGCATTAGCTTCTCGTCGTGCTTGTCGCTGCTCCAGTGATTCTTCTTGTTGGGCTTCGCGATGGGCTTCGGCGTCAGCTGCTCGTCGTGCTTGCGATTCTTCAGGCGTTTCCCGCTCTCGTACTGCACGCTGCGACTTGGCATTAGCTTCTCGTCGTGCTTGTCGCTGCTCCAGGGATTCTTGTTCTCGGGCTTTGCGATGGGCTTCGGCGTCAGCTGCTAGTCGTGCATGGTATTCTTCAGGCGTTTTCCGCTCTCGTGCTGCACGCTGTGACTCAGCATGAGCTTCTCGTCGTGCTTGTCGCTGCTCCAGTGATTCTTGGTTTTGGGCTTTGCGATAGGCTTCGGCGTCAGCTGCTAGTCGTGCATGGCATTTTTGAGGCGTTTTCCGCTCTCGTGCTGCACGCTGTGACTTGACACGAGCTTGTCGGATTCTGTCGAGAGTTTCTTGGCTTTGTCTCTGAATCCATCTCTGCTGTCTTTCTCGATTTAGCCGTCGTTTCTTTGTTGCTTGATCTTCGTCTCCGACCATCGCCTACAAAATATAAGTTTAATTGTTTGTCAGGTTTAATTTTTAAAGAACTCACCTTCAACTACTTATACGCTTAACGTCTTGAGAAATGATCGGATGTATGGCTGATAGTGAAGTTCGATTAAAAAACTTAAAAAGAACGCGAACGGCTTTGCTGTACTTGAGGACTTTCAACAAGTCGAATAAGAGCTTCTTTCACTTAAAACTTTCACTCTCCAGACCTTTTTTGACGATGCCACGATGTAACTTTAATGTGAATGAATTAAAATGTATTTTAACTTTAGTTGTGATATTAAAATTCACTTCTAAGAGCTGTGACTTATTAATCACTGAAAGAACAGTTAGGATGATTTGGCACTTGCGATATGAAAGAAATTCTAAAAAATAACTTGTGTAATTTTGCCTCAAATATAAATCGGCGCTTTAAAAAGTTGTAGATGTTTTTGAAAATTGAGAAAAAAAATTAACGGCAAAAAATAATTGTCATTTGATGCTGGTTGCAATTACTGGCGAAACGTCGTGCTCAGATTGTAAATGTTATGAGTTTACTCTCCAACACACCGGTTTTCTTCAACTAATAACGAATTGCCAAGTTTTTTTTACGTGACAAACCTTGCTGATTAGCTGTGTGTCGGGTGGCGGCGGGTTGAACGACACATTTATATCTTACGCGATCTAACCCAACAAAACCTCTTTGGATGGCCAATTTCTAATGTCACGTTGGTGCAGTCTTCCGTGGTCACAATAAAGTGACCTCGCCCGATGTGACGTAGGAAACCCACGAGAGAGCCTGAAACAAACATACAACGGACGATTTCAAGCTTTTGTGACTACAGGGATTCATCTTCTTGGTTCTTTCGGTAAAGTCACGTAGAATGGAAATAAAAGAATAAAAAGAAAACATAATAAAATAAGATTTTCACGACGTTTCGGCCACAAAACAAGTAGCCTTCTTCAGGTGAATAAACAGGACTGTCCAGAAGACAGCGCTTGAGTGAACATTGCCAAGCATGGACCACGTCTTTTAAGCTGTGTGGGCGGAATTAACATGAATTAGCATGTTACCCAGCACCACCACCACCGGATCGGGGGAAGGTGGCGGCGGGTACACAGAAAAAAGCAAAGAAAAAAGAAATAGGATAGGTCCGCTACTCTGTCCTGTATTGCGTTGATAACTATGCTATAAACTGGACTACTGTACAATATATTATACCTTCCAATCTAAACTACATGGTATATCATATCCATAGAAAAAAAAAAATTCCACCTTTGAATTATACAATGTGTTACTATACACTGCCCTATACTTTTGACTATAAAATATTAAACTTGTAACTTTACACTGTCTTATTTTATCAAACCCACTATATGCCACACTGCTGTATATTCACTATACAATTACGATACTATATATTGCCATATGAATTGTGTTAAACATTGCAATGTTATACTATTTATTATACCACATGCTATAAACTATACCATTGACCGTCGTGTGAAAGGTATTAAGAGGCAGTGCCAGCGGATGGACTTCGGTCTGAAGGTCACCGTAAAATACAATCAATTAAGAACCGAAATGGTTGATAACATCTTTCCAATGGTTTCTAAGCCAGAATCCATCTTCTCGGTTGAAATTGTCTCTGTGTTTATATATGTGGATGGCCTCATGAAAAAAAATCTCATGGTAGCCGGATGGCTTGCAGAGAACCTCCGTCTTGGAGAATTCAATATCAAGTGAGCCCACTGAATTATAACAGTGATGTGCCACGGCCGAGGTGTTGGTCCTCCCGTGTTTCAAGTCTGCTTTATGTTCATGGATGCAGTCCGAGATATGTCGTTTGGTTTCTCTATGTAGCTGCTACCACAGAGGCAACTGAGTTTGTAAACGCCCAGGTACTGTATGTCTGGGACCACATCTTTTACAGACGGAACCAGATCACGGATTTTATGTACTGTGTTGAATCGGACCTGGATCTTGTGTTTATTCAGGATTTTGGAAATATTTTTTGTGACCCCCGCAATGTAGGGTAAGGTGATGGTTTTGAATGGATCCTCAAGAGGATCCTCCTTCATGACTGGAGTGATGGCTTTGCGGATTGTGTAGTCGGAGTAACCATTAGCCTTGAGAGCTTGGTGTACGTGTTTGAGTTCACTGGCAATGTGTTCCTGGTCGGAAATGCATTGGGCTCTATGGTATAGAGCAGTGGTTCTTAACCTGGGTTCGATCGAACCCCAGGGGTTCGGTGAGTCGATCTCAGGGGTTCGGCAGAGCCCCCGCCACGGAGGTCCGGACACACTTGAATTATTGTGTAAATTTGTGATGACACACACGGCCCGCTTGGCCATCACTGGCTGCAGATGATCATGCTACACTGCTTGGCCAATCAGCGCTGCGGGGAATTTAGTGCGTACTCAGTAGTCAACGTGTGACTGTTGTCGTACGTTGTGTGATTTCTTTAATATTTTATCCATACTATGTCGGGCAAAAGAAGAAAGTGGTCGGACAAATATGTACAACATGGATTCTCATGTATCACGGAACGTGATGGGAGTGAGCGTCCTATCTGCATGATTTGCAACGCCAAGTTGAGCAACTCTAGTCTTGCACCGGCAAAACTAAAGGAACACTTCTTGAAGCTGCATGGAGACGGGGAATACAAGAACACAACACTTGCTGAATTCAGGGTGAAGAGAGCCAGATTCGATGAAAGGGCCACTCTGCCTGCTCTTGGATTTGTACCTGTTAACAAACCGATCCTGACAGCATCGTACGAAGTTGCTTACCTGATCGCAAAGCAGGGCAAGCCACACACCATTGGTGAAACACTTGTGAAACCAGCTGCATTAAAGATGGCGAATCTGATACTCGGAACAGCGGCCGAAGGTAAATTATCCCAAATTCCCCTTTCAAATGACACCGTCAGTGACAGAATAGAAGACATGAGTAAAGACATCTTGGCTCCAGTAGTCGCGGATCTGATTTCAAGCCCGGCAAAATTCAGCCTTCAACTCGACGAAACCACAGACGTTTCTGATCTAAGCCAGCTTGCTGTTTTTGTACGCTATGTGAAAGACGACATGATAAAAGAAGAGTTTTTATTTTGTAAGCCTCTTACAACAACAACGAAGGCAGCCGATGTGAAGAAGCTTGTGGATGACTTCTTCAGAGACAACAATCTTTCATGGGATATGGTTTCTGCAGTTTGTACGGACGGAGCTCCAGTCATGCTGGGAAGAAAGTCTGGTTTTGGTGCGCTAGTAAAGGCCGATGCACCACACATCATTGTGACGCATTGTATTCTGCACAGGCATGCGTTGGCAACAAAAACCTTACCTCCAAAAATGACAGAAGTATTAAAAACTGTGGTGGAATGTGTGAACTATGTGCGAAAAAGTGCTCTGAGGCACCGCATCTTCAGTGAGCTGTGTAAAGAAATGGGCTCTGAATTTGAGGTACTTCTGCTCCATTCTAATATTCCGTGGTTATCCCGGGGACAGGTGCTGAATCGTGTTTTTGCCATGCGTGTGGAATTAGCCCTGTTTTTGCAAGAGCACCAACACTGCCATGCAGATTGCTTCAAAAATCCTGAGTTCATTCTCATTTTAGCGTACATGGCTGATATATTCGCAGCTCTCAATCATCTCAATCAGCAGATGCAGGGTGGTGGAGTCAATATCATGGAAGCGGAAGAACACCTGAAGGCTTTTCAAAAAAAGCTACCGTTATGGAAACGACGAACAGAGAACAATAACTTCGCAAACTTCCCGCTTCTGGACGACTGTGCAAGTAAGATCGAAGATGTGTCTGGAATCGGAGATATTTCTGTATCCACGGAACTGAAGCAAACAATTGCCACGCACTTAGATGAGCTTGCAAAGTCTCTCGACGGATATTTCCCTACAAGAGAGTCATATCCAGCATGGGTGAGACAGCCGTTCACGTTTGCTGTTGAAACAGCAGATGTCAATGATGAATTCCTCGACGAAATCATTGAAATTCAGCAGAGCCAGGTTCAACAGCAACTCTTCAGAACAACAACGCTCTCAACGTTTTGGTGTCGACAAATGAACAAGTATCCAGTTATTGCTAAGAAAGCCCTGTATTTTTTTATACCATTTGTTACAACATATCTTTGTGAGCAATCCTTTTCGAGGATGCTGGACATAAAAACGAAGAAAAGGAACAGACTTTGCTGTGAAAATGACATGAGAGTGGCACTTGCCAAGGTGAAGCCACGCAGATCTGAACTGATCTCTCAAAGGCAACAGCAGAAGTCACATTGATTTCCAGGTATGTAATTTGTTGTGAGTTTATGCATTGTGTTGGTTTTATTCTTTGAACAAGGTAATGTTCATGCACGGCTCATTTTGTGTACCAGTAAAAAACATATCTATGTCTTGAATTTGAAAAAAATCACATTTTATTTTTCACTAGAGGGGTTCGGTGAATGCGCATATGAAACTGGTGGGGTCCGGTACCTCCAACAAGGTTAAGAACCACTGGTATAGAGTCTTGATGAGGGAGTTCTTCTGGGATGGATGGTGGTGGGAATCCGGTTTCAAGTAAGCATCCGTATGGGTAGCTTTCCTGTAGACAGAGTGGCTCATTGAACCATCAGGTCTCCTTTTAATTAAGACATCCATAAAGGGTAGCTTGCCATCTTTTTCGACTTCCATGGTAAATCTGATGACTGGGTGCGTGGAACTGATGTGGTCGAGGAATTGGTCTAGAGCAGGTCGGCCATGTGGCCAGATGACAAAAGTGTCATCCACGTACCTCTTCCATAAAGTCGGGCATAGAGTAGCAGTCTGGATGGCGTCAGTTTCAAATTTTTCCATGAATACGTTGGCTACAACCGGAGATATGGGGGAGCCCATTGGGGTGCCCTCAGTTTCTGTTTGCGGAAAGTTCAATTCCACGTGAAGTATGTGTTGGTTAAGCAATGTCTCACCAGGGGGGGTACATCAGTATGCAGTCCTTGATGAACCAAGTCTTCAATGATTGCGATGGTGTGAGGTACCGGAACTTTGGTGAATAAGGAAACCACACCAAACCTGACAAGCAGGTCGTCTGGGGACAGGGAAATAGCCCGTGATTGTCGAAACCAGGTGAGTAGAGTTTAGTACCGCAGAGGTGGTTTTTCCAGTGAGAGGTCTACGTGATGAGACCTCCTTTACCCTTTTAACTGGCACAAAAAACTGATACCTTTATTCAAGGCATCATGTTTGCAGTAACCACAACACAAGCAGTCAAAATGCAAACAAAAGAGACAACTCTGATAATAATATTGGCACTGCCCTTGAATTTGATTGGTCCACACCCGAGACGGCTTTTCTCAGAGCCCTTAGTCTCCACTGGTGTTGGACCAGAAAAGGCGTACAACTCAAAAACAGCGCACCATCAGAGTATTGAGGGCTCGGGGTGAGCATTTAGATTATGAGACCTCCTTTGCCAGTAACAAGATATAGTAATAGGTTTTACCCTTTTAACGGGCACAAAAAACTGACACCTTTATTCAAGTCTTTTTGTTTGCATTTTGACTGCTTGTGTTGCGGTTACTGCAGACATGATGCCTTGAATAAAGGTGTCAGTTTTTTGTGTCAGTTAAAAGGGTAAAACCTATTACTAGGTCTACGTGACTTTACCGAAAGAACCAAAGAGTATACACACAGAAAGCGAAATGAATTTAGCCCTCCGATGTCTGGAATAATGTAGGAGAGGTAAAACAACAAAATAACGACAATGTGGAGCGCGTACCGAGCGGACAGCCGCGTGTGATGAGGCAGACATTGCAGACGTCACTGGGACTGCGACTTGGCCCCTGCACAGCAGCGGGAGCAACCCCCCCCACCACCACCACGGTGACCCAATCAGAGGAGGGCAGACATCTTGGGTAGGGGAACCCGACCGCGAACCGCAGCAGCGCGCCCAGCACGGCAAGCCGTGCCCCCCCCCCCTAACACCACGCCCGCACTGCCCCCACCGCTTCCCCCCGCCCCCACTGCCTCCCCTCGCCCCACTCCCACCGGCTCCTCCCACTCCTCCCCCCCGCCCCCACCACTTCCGCCTACTCCTCCTCCCCCCGCCCCCACAGCTCCCCCCCTCCACCGCCCCCCACCGCTCCCCGCCCCCCGTTGGCGGCAAAGTTTCCTCCCCCGCCGCAACACTCCCCCCCCCCCGCTCCACCCCGGCTTTACCCTACGAAAGATGGCGACGGCGCGTCACTAACCCCCTCCCCCCCGCCCCTCCTTCCCCTGTAGTGACGTCACAGCGCCCATATACAAGTTTCTCTTTGCCGTGCGCCGCGCGACGAGGTGCGGGCTTGCGAGAGGCGGCAGGCCGCGAGGCTTCCCCTCGACATGAAGCCGTGAGTATTCGGCGCTCCCGTCTCAAAGGCGTTCCCTTCCCGAACGTTCGCCGAGTAAGAACGCCCCGCCCGGACGCGGGCAAAGTTGCGAGTGGAGTTTTGTTTTTTTATAGAGAGAGAGAACATCAACTTTTTTTTTTATTTCGCCCCGAGGTTCGAAAGCGGCGGCGGCGGCGGGCGGTCGGGGGACCCCCGCCCGCACGTGCGAGGCCGGCGGGGGCCCGCGGCGGGGAAAGCGGTAGGATAAGTAGGCGAGCGCGGGTTTGTTGGCGGAGGGCCCCGTGGGTGCGAACGGGCCGCAATCGCGCGATCGTGCCCGGGCGTCTATTGCTGTTGTCGGGAGTCACAGACTCTGGCTTGCAGCTGAGGGACAGCCGCCGGACGAAGGGCGCGGCTGTGTCCGTCGATACCGGCAGACACCGCCTGCCGGGCTGGCGGAGAGCGGGGAATCGTGGAGCCGGGCCGGGACCCCGTGGCTGTGGATGCGCAGCCACGGGTCCGAGCAGCTCGCGGCGTTTGGCTGAGAATGAATGAAGAAATGGGGGGGGGGGGGGGGGGGGGGGGCGGCTTCCCCAGCGTTGGGGAAATCTCGGGACCCCGCAGCGTAATCTCGCCAAATGTCAAAAGCTAAACGGATCGGCGGCTTTGGTGTCACGGCGCCTGCGCGAGTGGCAACGAAAGCGGTGGCATGCCGGCCTGCGAGAGGGGGGTGGCGTCTTCGGGAAGGTTCATAGAGGGCACTATCGGCGCCATGGCTGGAAAAATCGGCGTTTTCTTGGCGCTGATAAGCAACCCTGCTTCACCACGATGTGGTATCGCATACTTGCCCACCGTGTAGACGCAAAGGGAATCCGCCTGACTGATGAGAACTGGGAAATGTACACGATGGGCCAGGTGAAGTTCTGGATCATCCGTGGCCTTGCCATATTTCCCCTCCCCACAGGAATGGTTCATACGTTTTTCCCTCCACATGTAAGGGTCTTGAGTGTACGTAATTATTAAAACCATGTACTGCGCTTTGTTTTGCTCTACCTGTACTTTGATCACGCTGGACCCCTGGCTTGTTGGTGAATGTGGTCCCAAGACCGGTTCACATATCACTGGCTGGTATTAGCCGTGGCTAAAAAAAGATGACCTGTATGTAGTTACGTAGCCAAGCGTGTTTTCAAATCACAGATGTTTCTTGAGCTTTTGCCAATTCACACTTTTGCTTTCAGGTGGTGAAATATGATGGGTCGCCTATTCAGTTTTATCATGTATGGTTTGTGTTTCTGGCTTTATTCGTTTGGGATTAGGGCCTGGGTTTCGAAGTTCAGGCGAGGGAATTGGGGGTTAGTGATAGTGTGCGAAAGATTAATTTCATAACCACGCATACTCCGTATACGCCAATCTCTAAACCTTTATAAACAGCTTGTCCTCTGAGGCTAACCTCCCTGTTCCTGATGACGACCGCTTGTGTTGCGATCGAAAGGTCGTAATATTTTTATTCTATTTATTTAATTGTTATTATTTTTTCTATGTACGTGACTTTACCGAAACAACCATAGACTATAAAAAGGTGTACCATGTTAATTTCCATAGAGCTATTTTCTGGCACATTGGTAGATTGGTTCAGTGGCCTGTTCTTATTTCTAAAGACCTTCTGGTCTTGTACTATACGCCGGCTAAAGGCATTTAAAGAGAATGCAATTTAAGAGATTGAAATCACCAGTCATTGTGTTGACATGTAATAGTACATGTGAGACATTAACTGTAAATTATAATATTGTTTTTCAAATGGTAAAGTACAACTTTCCCATATTCTTAGTTCTTTCGGTAAAGTCACGTTGAAGGGAAACAATGAAATAATAAAATATATATAAAACAATAAAAATTTTCACGACGTTTCGACCATAACACAAACGGTCGTCATCAGGTGTGTCGGTTTGCATGAAATTATTTATTTTCAAACGGTGTATTTATTTATTTATAAAAAAAAAACGTTAGCGCCACGTGCAGCGATTTGGCAGTTTATTTAGAAGAACTAGTCCATCTATGTTCTGAAAAGAGGAGGGGGGAGACGACAAATTTTAATGTATGCTGTCTGAAAGCCACTTTAAGCGTGAACAATCAATTAAGACCTGAAATGGTTTATCAAATCTTTCCAATGCTAAGCCAGAATCCATCTTCTCGGTTGAAATTGTCCCTGTGCTTGTATATGTGGATAGCCCTTCACTTGGAATGGAACTTTCTACAAACAAACTGAGGGCACCCCAATGGGCTCCCCCCTATCTCCGGTTATAGCTAACATTTTCATGGAGAAATTTGAGAGTGATGCCATCCAGACTGCCACTCTGCGCCCAACCTTATGAAAGAGGTACGTGGATGACACTTTTGTCATCTGACCACATGGCCGGCCTGCTCTAGACCAATTCTTCGACCACATCAATTCCATACACCCAGCCATTAGATTTACCATGGAAGTTGAAAAAGATGGCAAGCTACCTTTTTTGGATGTCCTAATTAAAAAGAGACCTGATGGTTCAATGAGCCACTCTGTCTACAGGAAAGCTACCCATACGGATGCTTATCTGAAACTGGATTCCCACCACTATTGTGTTATTTTATTTTATCAATTTATTATTTTATTATCATTCTACGTGACTTTACCGAAAGAACCAAAGAAGATGTATCATAGAGCCCAATGCATATCCGACCAGGAACACATAGCCAGTGAACTCAAGCACGTACACCAAGCTCTTAAGGCTAATGGTTACTCCGACTATACAATCCGCAAAGCTATCACTCAAACCATGAAGAAGGACCCTCTTGAGGAGCCTTTCAAAACCATCACTTTACCCTACATTGCGTGGATCACAAAAAAGATCTCCAAAATCTTGAATAAACACAAGATCCAGGTCCGTTTCAACACATTACATAAAATCCGTGATCTTGTTCCATCTGTAAAAGATGTGATTCCGGACATACAATACCCTGGTGTCTACAAACTAAGTTGCCTCTGTGGTAGTAGTTACATTGGAGAAACCAAACGCCATGTCTCGGACCGCATTCGTGAACACAAAGCAGACCTTAAACACGGTAGGACCAACACCTCGGCCGTGGCAGATCATTGTTATAATTCAGTAGGCTCACATGACATTGACTTTTCCAAGACAGGTTCTTTGTAAGCCATCTGGCTACCATGAGAGATTCGTTCATGAGGCTATCCACATAAACAAGCACAGAGACAATTTCAACCGAGAAGATGGATTCTAGCTTAGCAATCATTGGAAAGATTTGATAAACCATTTCAGGTCTTAATTGATTGTTCACGCTTACAGTGGCTTTCAGACAGCATACATTAATTTTTCGTCTCCCCCCTCCTCTTTTCAGAACATAGATGGACTAGTCCTTCTAAATAAACTGCCAAATCGCTGCGCGTGGCGCTGGCGTTTTTTCTATAAATAAATAAATACACCGTTTAAAAATAAATAATTGTATGCAAACCGACACACCTGATGACGACCGTTTGTGTTATGGTCGAAACGTCGTGAGAATTTTTATTGTTTTATATATATTTTATTATTTTATTGTTTCCCTTCAACGTGACTTTACCGAAAGAGCTAAGAATATGAATTACTGCAGTCACGAAAGCTTTAAATCAAAATACAACTTTCCCTTTTACACATGCTTGGTTTGACACACAGGTTCCGTACAGAGCTTGGGGAGGTAACCCCACACAACATCAAGCAACTTAAGCGGCTAAACCAGGTCATCTTTCCAGTGTTTTACAACGACAAGTTTTATAAAGATGTTCTGGAGGTTGGCGAACTGGCGCGGTTGGGTAAGTGTTCGTATATGCACCCCTACATTTCAGAAGTGTCCGGTATCCTTGTCATCTCGTGGTTGAGCATACAGCATTTACTAATTTTAGTGGCTTGGAATTTCTGCGTTGCTTGTGCATTGGGAAACATAATGCTTATGACGCTGTATGTGTTTCTGTAACCAGCATACTTCAATGACATTGTGGTGGGTGCGGTCTGCTGCCGGGTGGATTTCTCGAACAACCAGAAGCGCTTGTACATAATGACGCTAGGATGTCTAGCGCGTTACCGTCGGCTTGGAATTGGTAAGCAAGATATCGTGCACATCAATTGTTATACACTTTCGCATTCCTACTGCACGTATTAAGCGTGCCTACGACTAGAGTAAGTCGCTTGGAATGTGCCTGGTCTCATCAGGTCTTGGAAGCGAAGCAGAAATTTAGCCTGACTAGCACCGGATGATTGAACACTCATCTACAAACAGGCTGTCACAGTCTTTCAGGGCTTCGTGGTGGGCAGCAGAGGGCATTGCATCAAAATACATTGTTCTACTGTACTTGTATGCTTCCACGTTTATGCTCCTCGCACTGATCAGCGTAGTAAAGTAGCGTGAAATTACCCCGATGACCTGCATGGGGTGGGAAGTCCATCACCCAACAGTGGATTGACAAAAAGGGATGCACATATGAACCTTACGGCGGTACCCCGGGGTACCATAGTACCCTGGCTCTCGCATATTCTCCGTGATGCAGTCATTTTTAGTCTGTTGATGGTCGGCGATGCGGCAATCGACTCATCTCGACGAGCTGTACTCACGATGCACTATGCTGCATACGAGCGTTCAGGGTTTCGGCGCAATCGTCCTCGCCGCTTTTCGACATCGTGGAGTAGCACCACTGATTTCAGATTGATTGGTACCCCAGTCGCGGAGTTAAGTACACCCCTGGAAAAAATAGTGTCCCAGAAATAAAATATTTAATTGCCTCGGCCATTTTGTATTTGGTACCCCGGGGTACCGTCATAAGGATTATATGCACATGACAAAGTACTATTTATGCAGCACTGCAAAGAAACATTTGTACTTGAACCACATTGTTTGCCATGATAATGCCCAAAAGGGTGATGCATTGTTTACCGGTGCATTATCTTCTTGTGGTAAAGTGTAATTTGTGAAATTTAAGTACTTTAAAGAAATGCAAATCCAGTCCATGTTTTCTCTTAAAGCACCGTTTTCATAAAATACATTGAATTAATGGTCTTGGTTGTTTCTACAGGAACAAAAATGTTGAATCATGTCCTGGCCATTTGTGAGAAAGATGGAACGTATGACAACATCTTCCTGTGAGTGCCACATGAATCTTCATACTGTCTTGTTTACACGGATTAGCTATTTGACTCTTTTAGCATGGGACTTTAAATTCATTAAAGTTGCTATGAGTATCTCGATTTAAAGCTTTCGTGACTGCAAGGATTCATCTTCTTTGGTTCTTTCGGTAAAGTCACGTAGAATAAGAATAAAATAACAATAAAATTCTCACGACGTTTCGGCCACAACACAAGTGGCCTTCTTCAGGTGAAAGGAACAAACCTGTCGGGACGACAGAGCTTCAATGAACGTTGTTAAGATTCGTAGCGTCTTTTAAGCTGGTTTAGAGAAGTGAGGCACCTTGACAAAGGAGTTTACATATCACACAGGAGAATTTAGCATTGAAATATCTGAGGAATTAGCTTGTGACTGGTCACAGAAATAGCTATGTTAAAGTCAAAGCCTAGACATCCACAGAGGCACCTAGTACATGGACGCCAAAGGGGCTGCAAAAACTTAACTATCATACAGTAAACTGATGTGAAAAACCTAAGTCTAAATTACATCAATATAATGTACATTTATGTAAAAAAAAAAACCTCAGTCTAAATGTACATTTATTATATTGATGTAATTTAGACTTAGGTTTTTTCACATCGGTTTACTGTATGATAGTTGAGTTTTTGCAGCCCCTTTGGCGTCCATGTACTAGGTGCCTCTGTGGATGTGTAGGCTTTGACTTTAACATAGCTATTTCTGTGACCAGTCACAAGCTAATCCCTCAGCTATTTCAATGCTAAATTCTCCTGTGTGATATGTAAACTCCTTTGTCAAGGTGCCTCACTTCCCTAAACCAGCTTAAAAGACGCTACGAATCTTAACAACGTTCATTGAAGCTCTGTCGTCCCGACAGGTTTGTTCCTTTCACCTGAAGAAGGCCACTTGTGTTGTAGTCGAAACGTCGTGAGAATTTTATTGTGTTATTTTATTTTATTATTTTATTCTCATTCTACGTGACTTTACCGAAAGAACCAAAGAAGTTGCTATGAGTAGTCGATAGCAGAAGGAATTATGCTTTGATATAGGAATTGAACATACACTTACATTTATCAGGCACTATTGTTCCCGAACTAATTAATGCAGTATATATTATAATGGTCAGCACAGTCATATTGCATTGATGTATATACTTTTTCTTGCGTACCACCTAAGGTTTAAAGCATTAATGCCTTAACTTTTTTTGTCAGTCCATCCCACCTGTCTTACATGGTATCATAACTCTTATAAAGATTATCCAATATAAATTAAGTTTTATTATAAAGTTGTTGAATATAGAAAACTTGTCAAATAATGATAAAATAACAGTGCAAAATCAATTATATATGGCCAAGGCGATGTCGCACATGTACGTGCCACGCCTTCCTCATATCATTCCGCATGATGTAATCTCGTGCGGCGTGGAAGATTTGTTATCGCAAATTCAATACATCCCAAGTACAAATGTACGTGGGAAAGCGTTGCAGAAGCTATTGCCTTGGTATGACATTTCATCCCCTCGTTTTACCTTTTCTCCATAGGCACGTGCAAGTAAATAATGAGTCGGCCATGCGGTTCTACCGCGAGTTTGGCTTCGAGGTGCTGGAGACAAAGGCGCAGTACTACAAGCGGATCGAGCCGGCAGACGCTCACGTGCTGCAGAAGACGTTGCGGGGAGCTCCCTCTGCTCGCGGAATCCTGGCCCTGGGCCCGCCCCACTCGACGTCTCACGAAGCCGAGCGGGAGGATGGGCAGGAGGCACAAACTTCAGCACACCACAGCAATGGCAGTTTAGAGAATGAGAAGTGACTGGGGTTGGGCGCAGGAATCTAACGTGGGCATGTGTGTTGGGTTTAAGTTGATAGGACATATTAGCATGCCATATCGAGCTATGGGGTGCCCTGCTGTGTGACTGCATTGGATGCAGTTCTGTAAAAAATGTAAACGCATTGCACAGACTCCCATTTTAAACAACAATTTGGTTGTGCCTTTCAAATAATGCTTTTACATGTTAACTTATGATCTATATTTTTTCATTGAAGGAGCAAAATATGTCCTATTGACCTGGTTTTAGGTGGGTTGTATTGTTGGCAATGGGTTTTATTGATTGGCCATGGAAGATCGTTTTCTGTGGTTTATTTGGATCAAGTGAATGCAAGAATTAGGGCTGCAGAATTTCTTGAGCTCCAACTACATTAAGGATTGCTGCTTTGTTGATGCAAAGAAGTGGGACATCAGGACCCGCCAACCGTGTTGGAATGAATACACACTTGAATTACGATGGTGGACAATAATGATCAATTGAAAACTCACTGTTCCAGAGAAAGTACAGATGACATTTGCCTGGAATCTGTAGGCTGTTGCTTTTACCTTCATGGAACATCCATCAACAACTACAAGCGGATCATATGAGAACGGTCTTTTAAGTAACATTTAAATCCAATTATTTCCAAGTCACATCAGAGATTACATGTTGAGGTTGCCTGTGAGGTGGCACATTTGTTTGGAAAGGAATTGATGTTGCTGAAAGAGTAAAGACTGCTATTTGTTTTTGGATTCAATATTAAAACTGCATTTCCACAATTTGTTTTTGCACGAGTTTTTTTACTGGTTTCTAGTATATGAAAAATAGAAATTGATCACAGATTAACCTATTTTTTTCACATGCATATGGTGGGCACTATGGGTGGATATCTGCTTACCTATGCATGTTATGGCTATCTCCACAATCCTACCTGAATAAACATAGATGCCGTTAATTTTCTTCCATTTGCATGGTTACACATTTTAACCACTCGGGTATTGATACTAGAATGTTTGACCCCTCATGCAAAATCCAATGAGCTTATGGAATTAATACGTTGGAAGTGCTGCTTCTCTTAGTTCTGTGCCTTCATGGTTGGTCCTAGGAACAAACTATCCTTATCTTGAGTCTTTGATTTTCTGCCGTTTGGCCTTTCCCCTCGATCAAGTTTTCACCTGACAGCGGTGCGTTTGCATAAACATATACTTACTGGAGTATGTTGATGGGCATCAATCCTTAAAAGGTTGATAAATTGAGTAGTCTAGCAGGGCATACAAGTTCGCTAGTTAATTTGCCCTGCAGAAGGGCCGTTACCCAAAACGTTCATTTTCAAAGGCAGCCGTTGGGGGAAGGTAGTTTGTGCTTGGACACAAAACAGCGATGCCGCAAGAGGGCGCCCAATGCACGAGACGTGCATTCATAAGGCAATTTTTTTAAATAAAATTGTAATATTTAGTATACAGTTTCAACCGATGTGCAGGTTAAAATACAGTAATTCACATAAACGTTTTCCGGTGTGTTTTTTTAGCTTCTGGAACTTTCAACATCCATTCAAGGCTGTAATGTAGCCTTGACTCGTCAGTAGAGTACTGAAGTCTGATGCTCACTGCCGCAAAATCTGCCTCTTGACAACCGTATATGTGTCCCCACTTCTATTGTTTGGGGCCCTTTTGCTTGGCTGATAGTAATCAATTTCACCGTTAGTTTCCAAAAGCATACTTGGCAGCAGTGAGCATTCGTGACTATGTGCTAACGAGTCCTAACGCTCGCTTTACAGTTGTCTGCCTCACTGCTGCCTGTCATTCGGCCACATTTACTCAAATTTATTTCAAGTGACCGATGATAATAATGGCAACTTGTAACACGCACAGTGTGTTTGTTCACTCTTGAGGAGAGAGAATGACTCAGGCGAGAGGGACCAAAGACAAGACATGCAGTGAACTGGTGCCAATTTCCCCACCAAGCTCTGAAGTTCTCTGTATTAAGGTGTTGTCGGAAGACCCGGAGAAACCTCACGCATGCGAGAGGGAAATACTTTCATGGATGGAACATATGGAGTCCACATTTGCTGTGAGCCAGGGTATGGCAACCACCTCGACGCTCATGGGATGGGTGTTTGAAAATGTGTGTTTGATCCACCAACACGACATATATGGTACCCAGAAGCAGACTTTGCAGCAGCGAGCCCTACGAATGACAAAACCGGTCCACAGTTGTTTCTCTGGGTCTCCCCGCTGCTGTTAGTCGGTCAAATTTATTTAACTATTTGGCCTGTGACTGCATCTGCGGCACTAAAGGTATGCCGCCTGCTACACGTGTAGTGACGTTACGGGTGTCACTATGGCGTTAGCGCCAGGCACTGTCATAAGAGTGCTGCTGTGCGTCGGGAACCTCTCTGGGGCCAGAGTGAGTACGGTATGCGAGCGGGCCCTAGGGGGCATAGTCCTGGTGACGGCCTGAGAGGGCAAGTCAGGACATGGTACACTGGGTGAACCCGGGGGGGCACGTGACCGGGACAGGGTAGTGAGAGGGGCCCGAGGGGGGCTTGAGGGACACGTGATGCTCGGTCGAGATCCTTCGGGAAAGGTCTCGAAGGGGGCGTGGTCGAGGGCGGAGCGAGGCCACGCCCAGGGGCATAAAGGGGCAGTCCCCAGAGTGTTCTTGGCTGTTCTCTGTAATCAACCCTCGGTGCCACGTCTCTGCTTGGCATCGTGGGTCAGTCCGGACGTTACTGACCCGGTTATGTAGTTACCCTGTTAGGGTGTAGAGTGTGGACGTTTATGTAGTTAACCCTGTTGGGGCGATGTAATAAACGTGTGCCTCCGTGTTCAACACTACACAGACGTTACGCGATTGGGCTGGTTACTGGTAGTGGCTGGGGCGGTAGGGCTAAGGCTGGCTGCTTCGCAATAATCACCACCAAAAGTCCTATTAGAGCAGCAATAGAGTAATAGATGGTAATTGACCTTGGGGAGCTGGAGTTCAAAATAATTTGCAAACGAACACCTTGTGAATGACCCAACACAGGAGAGCCCTGTGTTTTGATCTTCCACGAAGTTCATGGTTCACCCTAAATCACATCCGCACAAACCACGGCAGCAGATGCGGATACCTGATGCATAAATGTAAAATAAAAACTCTCCAGTCGTGTGCTACTGTGGTCATCCAGAATAGACCACAACATATAACGTCGCAATGCCCGATCCACAAATACAAAGGAGACGTGACAGTGATGACACTCCGCTGCTACTGACGTGGTTATTTGGCTTGGCCACTTGAATGTGAAATTGTAGTCGTTGCACTGCATCTACATCAGCCACATGACAATAAGATTGACCTAAGACAAAAGGACCACAATATGCACTTTAGGCAGGATTAGAAAAAAAACACAAAGGCCGATTGCTTTTTGTAAAAAAAAAAATTCCGCATGCGTGTTGTTTTTAAACTCAATGGTTCTGCACTATTATTATTACTAGCATCTTTGCCCGTCCTAGGAGGAAAAAAATGGGGCAGAATATAATTGTATCTTGTGGAAATTTAATGGCAGTGAATCTTGCACAAAACTATGTCATAAAACACTGCACTGCAGTTCACTGTAGCACTTTATTAATGACAGTGATTATTGCACAAAACGATGTAATCACTTAACTGCATTTCACTGTTGTATTGTATTAATGGCAGTGATTGTTGCACAAAACTACGTCATAAAACACACTTCATGTCACTGTAGCACTGTATTTAACTCACCTTAAATTAGTTCAAAATCACTGCTCTGATATTTTATTTCTTCTGCTTTCGCTCGCTGGGGTTGTAATCAATTTGAATTCGATACAATATCTGCAAATTCACGGAAAAATGTATATCTATATATAAAAGGGAAATTTGTGAATGTGTCTGTTCGAAATGTTTAGCATACTTCCGAACATGCAACAACCTTGAAATTTGGCATGTGGGCAGCTTCCAGACTGTACACAATATAAAAATAGACTTTTGTTATTTTGAAGGGGGGGGGGGGGGGGCGCAATCATGGATATATTTTGCACGGCAAGTGAGCGGTGACGTCACATCCCACCAACAGCCTCGTCAAACAAACCAACAAAATCATTTCTGATTCAGCCGCATTAATTTATCAAACCAAACAGTTCTCGTTGAAACCTGCTGCTGCCAGGCCACCAAGATTATACGGCTTACCAAAAATACATAAAGTAGATACACCCCTTCGTCCCATCGTCTCTACTATCAACTCCCCCACCTACAAACTGGCTCGTTTTCTGTCTGAAATCCTGCGGCCTTTCACTGGAAAAACCACCTCTGCGGTACAAAATTCTACTCATCTGGTATCGACAATCAAGGGTATTTCCCTGTCCCCAGACGACCTGCTTGTCAGTTTTGATGTAGTTTCCTTATTCACCAAAGTTCCTGTACCTGATGCCATCGCAATCACTGAAGACTTAGTTCATCAAGGACTAAACAATGAGGTACCCCCCCTGGTGAGACACTGCTTAATATATAGTTCACTTGGAATGGAACTTTCTACAAATGGAGGACACCCCAATGGGCTCCCCCTATCTCCGGTTGTAGCCATTTTCATTTTCATGGAGAAATTTGAGACTGACGCCATCCAGACTGCCACTCTGCGCCCAACCTTATGGAAGAGGTATATGGATGACACTTTTGTCATCTGGCCACATGGCCGACCTGCTCTAGACCAATTCCTCGACCACATCAATTCCATACACCCAGTCATCAGATTTACCATGAAAGTCGAAAAAGATGGCAAGCTACCTTTTTTGGATGTCCTAATAAAAATGAGACCTGATGATTCAATAAGCCACTCTGTCTACAGGAAAGCTACCCATATGGATGCTTATCTGAAACCGGATTCCCACCACCATCCATCCCAGAATTCGCTCATCAAGACTCTACACCATAGAGCCCAATGCATATCCGACCAGGAACACATAGCCAGTGAACTCAAGCACGTACACTCCGACTACACAATCCGCAAAGCTATCACTCCAACCATGAAGAAGGACCCTCTTGAGGAGCCTTTCAAAACCATCACTTTACCCTACATTGCGGGGATCACAAAAAAGATCTCCAAAATCTTGAATAAACACAAGATCCAGGTCCAATTCAACACATTACATAAAATCCGTGATCTGGTTCCGTCTGTAAAAGATGTGATTCCGGACATACAGTACCCTGGCGTCTACAAACTAAGTTGCCTCTGTGGTAGTAGTTACATTGGAGAAACCAAACGACGTGTCTCGGATCGCATTCGTGAACACAAAGCAGACCTAAAACACGGTAGGACCAACACCTCGGCCGTGGCAGATCACTGTTATAATTCAGTAGGCTCACATGACATTGACTTCTCCAAGACAAAGGTTCTTTGCAAGCCATCTGGCTACCATGAGAGATTCGTTCATGAGGCTATCCACATATACAAACACAGAGACAATTTCAACCGAGAAGATGGATTCTGGCTTAGCAATCATTTCAAGGATTTGATAAACCATTTCGGGTCTTAATTGATTGATCACGCTTAAGGTGGCTTTCAGACCGCATCCATTATTTTCGTCTCCCCCCTCCTCTTTTCCGAACATAGATGGACTCGTCCATCTGAACAACTGTCAAATCGCTCTCCGTGGTGCTAATGTTAAAATAACCGCCACTTTTTTCAAAATATCTTGCTGTGGTTTTCATACCTGATGATGATTGCTTGTGTTGCAGTCGAAACGTCGTGAGACTTTTGTTTTATATTTGTATTACTTTGTTTCCCTTCTACGTGACTTTATCGAAAGAACCACGAATAGTAATGGAAATGTATAGATCTGATGAGCTGGGTTAATAGGGGAGGCCCAGGACAAGTTGCAGTGTGCACCACCAAAGACAAAGATCCCCCGTATAGCCTTAACAGACTGTTGGGGCCAAGTGCCGTTAGCGAGTTGCACCTAAGAGGCCGGCATAGTACACGTGGGTGGCCAGCACCACGCTCGGCCCCTTTGTCTCCATTGTGGCGGGTACAGCACAGTACATATTTACGGCTGAGTCGACCTAGGGGGTGGCCCAGGGCAGGGTGTGTCACGGGACAAACCCAGCAGATACCACGGGGTCGGCTGATTGAGATGACCGGTAGATGCACTACAAGCTGTTACCCTCTTCTTTGGTTCTTTCGGTAAAGTCACGTAGAATGAGAATAAAATAATAAATTGATAAAATAACACAATAATATTCTCACGACGTTTCGGCCACAACACAAGGACAGCGCTGTCCTACCAGACAGTCTCGCCCCTTCACCTGATGAAGGCCGCTTGTGTTGTGGCCGAAACGTCGTGAGAATATTATTGTGTTATTTTATCAATTTATTATTTTATTCTCATTCTACGTGACTTTACCGAAAGAACCAAAGAAGATGAATCATTGCAGTCACGAAAGCTTTAAATCGAAATTTAAGCTGTTACCCCCCTACTATGCCAACTTGCTGAATTTTATTCGCCCGGCGCTCCGCTTGTTGTTGTGAGCGTCGCTCCTCCGCCCTCCAACTGCCCAGGAGCGGCAGCGTCCTTCACGAGCCTCCTCCTCTGCAGAAGCCGATCTTGAGACACCGCTGGTCTATCAGTCGCATACCTGTCAAACCCCTTATTACAGATCAAATTCAGACCTTATTGGTCACCCCGTGCCCCTTATAAATCTCAACGTTCATCCTACAAAACTCCCATCACAAGGGACAAACAAATACATCACTTTTTTGTTGTTGCCCGTGTTGAAACGGCTGTCCGCCGACAGGACCTGAAAGCTCAATGTCCCTGTACAAGATTGCGGAGAATAAACCGTATAGGGGTTCACACGGTATGCCGTCGTCGGCAAGTCCACTCAGCTCCACATCCTCCCGTAAGCACCATCATCACTGCTAGCACCATCACTTCATCAACATCACCGCCATCATCACTGCTAGCACCATCACTGTCATCACCATCAACATCACCACCATCATCACCACCACCGCCATCATCACTTCCATCACCGCCATCACCACCACTACCGACATCACCGCCATCACCATCACCATCATCACCACCACTACTGACATTACCATCATCACCGACATCACCACCACCATCATCACCACCACTACCATCATCACCGACATCACCACCACCGCCATCATCACTTCCATCACCGCCATCATCACCATCACTTCCATCACCGCCACCACCACTACCGACATCACTTCCATCACCGCCATCACTTCCATCACCGCCATCACCAACATCATCACCACCACCACCATCATCACCACCGACACCGCCATCACCACCACCATCACCGTCATCACCACCACTACCGACATCACCACCACCATCATCACCACCACCATCACCGCCATCATCACCACCACTACCGACATCACCACCACCATCATCACCACCACTACCACCATCACCACCACTACCGATATCACCACCACCATCACCGTCATCACCACCACTACCGACATCACCACCACCATCATCACCACGCGTTCCGAGCAGGTGACGTCATCCGCGTGCGTGCCCGCGCTGACGGCGCGCGCGCACGCGCGGGAAGGCGAACGACGCTGAGGGGACAAACTCTCGGCAAAAAGTTCGCGTTTAAAATAAAAACACAAACACCACGCAGCCGGGGTTAATGGGTCATTAGTTTGTTTATGTTTTATTGCCGCCGCCGTTGTTGTTTATGAGCAAGCAAAATCGTGTTCGCGGCTGCTGGTTGTTGAAATCACGCGATTGACGTCGGTCGCGTGGCCCGAGTTGAGAGGTAAGCGCAGACGAGGTGGCGTGTGCATGGCGGTGTGTTGTTGCTGTTGTTGTTTGTTGCTGTTGTTTGTTGTTGCTGTTTGTTGTTGTGAACATCGGTTGAAGGCAGTTGGGGGGGGGGGGGGAAGGTCTTTCGGTGGCTGCAAATGACACACAGAGTGCGAAGAGGGTTCAACTCCCTATACTTTCGTGCAAATGCGCGGCGCGGGTTTTTAAATTGTACGAGTTTATATCGTTGCGACACTGCAAGCACGAACGCACAACGGCAGCAACAAAACAAACGAAAGAAGAAGAAGACAACAAAAACCCCACCACGGCGATTCGGCCGTCGTCGCGGCAGCAGCGATTCACGCGCGCTCTGGATTTAAGGCCCGTTGCCCGAAACGTCGCGTGAACGGGGGGAGGTGGGGGGGTAAGGGGGACGCCGCTTGGCTGTAGTCACGGAAACGCGCGTTCGCCTCCGTTCACTTCAGCCGTCGGAGGCTGTCAACTCCACTGCTGGATGAGACACTACAGCAACAGCTGTACACGCATCACAGCCCTTCTGTCACTCCACTGCTGGATGAGACACTACAACAACAGCTGTACACGCACTACAACCCATCTGTCATTCCACTACTGGATGAGACACTACATCAACAGATGTACACGCACTACAACCCATCTGTCATTCCACTACTGGATGAGACACTACATCAACAGCTGTACACGCATCACAGCCCTTCTGTCACTCCACTGCTGGATGAGACACTACAACAACAGCTGTACACGCATCACAGCCCTTCTGTCACTCCACTGCTGGATGAGACACTACATCAACAGCTGTACACGCATCACAGCCCTTCTGTCACTCCACTGCTGGATGAGACACTACAGCAACAGCTGTACACGCATCACAGCCCTTCTGTCACTCCACTGCTGGATGAGACACTACAACAACAGCTGTACACGCACCACAGCCCTGTCACTCCACTGCTGGATGAGACACTACAACAACAGCTGTACACGCATCACAGCCCTTCTGTCACTCCACTGCTGGATGAGACACTACAGCAACAGCTGTACACGCATCACGGCCCTTCTGTCACTCCACTGCTGGATGAGACACTACATCAACAGCTGTACACGCATCACGGCCCTTCTGTCACTCCACTGCTGGATGAGACACTACATCAACAGCTGTACACGCATCACAGCCCTTCTGTCACTCCACTGCTGGATGAGACACTACAGCAATAGCTGTACACGCATCACAGCCCTTCTGTCACTCCACTGCTGGATGAGACACTACAACAACAGCTGTACACGCATCACCGCCCTTCTATCACTCCACTGCTGGATGAGACACTACAACAACAGCTGTACACGCACTACAACCCATCTGTCATTCCACTACTGGATGAGGCACTGCTGAAGAATTTGTCAAAGTGCTTGTGTATATCTTTCACTGGTTGCGTTACACATGTGTGATGGGGGAGTGGTGGTGCAGTGGTTAACGCACCCTGCCTCGAACCTATCGACCCGAGTTCGATTTCCCGCCCGCAGCCAACATTGTGCATACAGTATATCTAAACCGTTCATGGGCCTCGCCAAGGTTGACTCAGTCCTACCTGTTTGTGGTGTGTAAATATCAGCACTGGGGAGATAAAGGCGTCTGGGCGTGGTGTGCAGGCCACCTACCTCGTGTGTCACAGCAGCGTTTATAGGTGCTCGGTAACAGCACTGTAGCCTGTCTGTTCAGGCTATAGGGGATTATTTGTCTTTGTGTACACACTATTATTTTCATGTGCCAATGTGTAGTGGTTATGAGCAGCTGAAGGCATTCATTAATCCCCCCACCCCTTTGCTCGTGAAGGGCTCACAAGTGACTATCTCTCTAAGGAACTAAACAAAGGAGGAGAGTTCTACATAAACCTGGCTGTCCGCCTGATGATGCTAGCTGGAATTACTGGCGAAACGTCGTACTCGAATTGTAAATGTTGCGGGTTTGCTCTCCAGTACACCGGTGTGCTGTACTAATAACGAATTGGCGTGTTCTGTTTACGTGACAAACCTTACTAATTGGCTGTGTCCGGTGGTGGCGGGTTTAACGACGCATTTATATCTACGCAATGTAATAAAAAAAACAGTATTAGAATGATCTTGGTCGCGAAAGCCTACGTGTTAAGCTGAAGGCAACATTGCAGACGATGGATGTAATTCGTTTGTTGACAGATCAGAAGCAATCTGCCTGGATCAGAATTCTGCCATCTTATTGAACTCCCGATTTCACCAGGATGGGGAAATTCATGAGGAGGAACTGACCCGTCCGCTAACGCATGAGCTGCATCCGTTATTGTTTAGTATGAGCTCTACATCTGCAGTTATTAAAGTGACGCCAGCTTTCTTACACCTTGTGTTGCATTGGGACGATTGCCACTGGGGGTCACCTTGGCTCGGCTGCCACAGAGTCATGGAATGGTTGAGATAAGATGTAATGTGCTTTGCGATGCTCAGGCATTTGGGTGCCCTATGAAGTCAAATCCTTATCGCTCACTGTGGTGAGAGCACACCTCTGTGATCCTGCAACATTGAGTCCTGGGTTTGTAGATTACGTACAAATGGAGCCTTTTTGAGGAATCCACCTGGAAGTGCCAGTGTTGAAGTAGAGAAAGTAGGTCCCTGGCAATCAGTAGAAAGTTTGACTGTACTTGACCAATATGCATCTTCTACTTTTGCGCAGTGGGAATTCCGAAGTAGATTTTTGGCACCGACGTCACTGTCGGAAGAGCGCGAAATGGAAGTCACTGGGGAGCAGCTCATTTTGGAAGAAAATGTTGATGACAATTTCATCCCTTCAGAAATGGGTAAGGCAGAAGACAGGCTTACGAACAAACTTCACATAAAAAGCAACAGTAGTTATAAAGTGAATGCCCTGGTTTTTCTTTAAATGTACATTTTCTGTAGGTATCTAATGAACAACAATATGTTGTTGAGCTAATGTTTGCAAATACAGTAAAACCTTTGATTGCGAGTAACTTGGTCTGCGAGTGTTTTGCAAGACGAGCAAAATTATTAAACGAGCGAGGTCTTGCAATACGAGTAGTACGTATGCGCTTTGTCTGCCGAGCATCACGTGATTACAACTGATGTACGAGTGCTTTGATATACGAGTGCTTTGGATTACAAACATGTTTCCGGAACGAATTGTGCTCGCAATCCAAGGTTTTACTGTATAATGTTTAATTGAACCCCCTTTGTATTAGAAGCTAAACATTTTTTGATATTTCAATGAAAAAAAGACACCAGAGCATAGAACTATTTAATTATATTGGGCAACTAGTCAAGATTAAAGACAATGTTTGACATCAATTGAGATGTTTGTGTTGTTACAGAGATAATGGATTATGCCATGGAGATTGGCATTGACCCAGAGAAGGAGCCGGAGTTAATGTGGCTGGCACGGGAAGGCATTTTTACACCTCTCCCAAAAGAGTGGAAGCCCTGGTAAGATTAAATCAAATGCCATATTTGCATGCCTGATGCTGTCATCATTCGGGTCTGATCTATCACAGGTTTGGCTTGAAGTAATGCGTTGTGATTGAGCAGTTACAACAGGTACGAAAACATTTCTACACACCTGCGTGTATGAGGTAATAATGCATTTCGTAAACAGCCAGGACGTGAATGGAGACATCTATTACTTCAACTTCTCCACGGGCATGTCCAGCTGGGACCACCCATGTGACGAATATTACCGGCAAATGGTGGATAAGGAGAGGGAGCGCCTGGCTAAGCAAGGGACAGTGAAAGCACAGGACCAGAAGGATAAAAAGAAGAAGAAAAAGACCAAAGAGAAGAAGAAAGATAATATTAATAAAGACAAAAAAGGGGAACAGCCTGCACTGGTAAGTGGCTTTAAAAACATTTCCTAAAGTAAATAAGTTTTCGTGACTGCAGGGATCCATACTCCTTGGTTCTTTCGGTAAAGTCACGTAGATATTAAAATTAAATTAATTTAATCACGACGTTTCGGGCGCAACACAAGCGTCCGTCATCAGGTGGGACAACCACAGCAAGAAACAATTGCTGAAGTGGGCAAAAGGACTGCTGTAACGAGAGGCTTTATAGGCAAGAGAGGGAGGGAGGAGCCAGGGAGGAGTGCAAGCGAAGACACCTGCACGACAAAATGCCAGAGTAGGGAGGGAAGTGAGTGGGGCTGGGAGTGGGAAGCTGAAGAAACTGGAGATGCGGATATGAAGGCAAACTATAAAGCAGTTAAGGTTTTACCTGGTTAATAACATCCTTCCAATGATTGCTCAATTTGTATCCATCTTCCCGGTTGAAGTTATGTCTATGTTTATATATCTGGATGGCTTCATTTTATTTTTATACCTACGTGACTTTACCGAAAGAACCAAGGAGTATATATAGGTAGCTATTAGATGCATGGCAAAGAGTACAGTTGTGCACGCTTTGAAATGTTTGTTAATTTTCAGAACTTTAATTTTAGCAGTGTTCACATTGCTATTGAACACGCGTAGGATAACAGTCGACATACTTTGTATTCATATATTTACTGTCCTTGATCAATAGTGGCATGCATCTAACAACATAATAATAAAAGTTGAACAGGAATGTCTGATTTTTACATATTATCCTGGATGCACCGTATTTGAAAATACCATACTTTTTTGGTAGTTATCCTTGCATATGGTGGATGCTTTACTACATGAAGCTGTAAGTAATGCAGTATAATAAATACGCTGGTATGCCTTTATGTTTTGATGACATTGGAACTCGAATTGTGCTTTTTTTATATAAATCAGAAAACATCTGGAGGCCTCAACCCAGTTCAGGCACCGCTGGGAAGCTTGGCACCAGTTCAGAAGCCTCTCCTAGGCCTGACTCCAATTCAGATGCCTGCCAGAGGTCTGGCGCCTCTTCAGCCTCTGTCTGGGACCCTAGCCCCCATACGCGGCCCTGTGGAGTCTTTGGACAACCTTGGGGTATCACCCAGAAGCTCAATGGACAGCCTTGGCTTCTTGAAGGGACCCAAGAAGAATGCCAATCGCGGTCAGGTGAGTGTCAAAACAGCCGTTGTTGCTGTTGTTGCAAGAGCAAATTGCTAAAGCCTACATTTTACATTACAGTTTGTCATTTTGAAGTGATTCGTACAAAGAGCGTGTCTGTTTTTTGTGAAGGTTGGTGGAGGCAAAAAAGAGGAGAATGCTTTTGGCGGTGAGGCTGGTATTGGTGATGACGTTGAAAATGATGAGGTGTGTGCTACGCTTTATCATATACCCATGTGATACTGAACAGCTTCACAAATTCAGGTTACACGCTAAGCTTTACTTTTCCAGTAAAACTTGCAGGTTTGGCTCCAATTCAGATGCCTGCCAGAGGGCTGGTGCCTCTTTATCCTCTTGTCTGGGAACATAGAACACCTTTCTTTGTATAGATATATAAAACCTTAGTCTAGGTTATTTATTTTTTCTATAGTAAAAAAAAATGTGTGATGCTGTTTCCTCTTGTGTAGAACCCTCTGTGCGCAGCAGAATTTCTGAAACATCTGCACTTGGACATTGATGAAGACGATTTTCAATTTGAGGTAAGTAGTCGTAGGTAGGCAATACGTGAACTGTTTTTATTTCTTCCATCTCGTCTCACTTGACTCTGTCTCCCATGTGCTCTCTACCTCAGCAACCAAGGCTTTCTATAAATGCCCCGTCACCCTCTACCTAGTCAGAAGATGTTCATCCTCTTCTCTTGCCCCCATAGTCTAGAACTCCCTTCCCCCAGCCATTAGTGTCGTAAACGTCCCCCAGGCATCTGTGCTGTTCAAGTCCATGCTGAATACCTTCCTTTAAATTTGTTTTTATTATTTCAGTAGGAGCCCGATAGAGAGCACGGACCGTGACGTAGGGGAGAGGGTTTAGAAAGTCCGCGGACACAAGTGCCAAACTCTGTGCTCCAGAACTTCGAGGAGGGAGGAGATTCGGCTCACTGCCCCACCGAGTGGGGGACCGCGAGGGGGGTCTACTGTTGTATGTACTTATGTGGAAAGGAGAAGGTAGGGGAAGAAGAACTTAAGTCAGGAGTAGAGGGCGTGGGGGGAAGAAGGGGGGGGAGACTAAATTACTTACTTTTATTCCTCTGCCTATTACTGACTGCCTCTCTGTATAACATACAAATGCAAAATTATTTATATACAGTATTTAGAGCTTCGATTGTGTCTCGACAAGATATAAATGCACGTTGTTTTGTATTTTATGAATATGATAGAGTATCACGATGTTGTGCTCCTTTTTCGGGTATGATTGTGTTGTGATTATTGTTTTGTAACTAAACACTGTACATGGGTCATTGGGCACTGTGATATATTTCACTGCTTCTTCCAGGAATCTGAAGCCAGTGAAAACATCAGAGAGCTGCAGGTTACAGAAGACACTGATGAAGATGGTGCTACACTCGATAAAGATCCTGCTGTGGGCATACAAAATATTACCATTATTCCTGCACCACTTTTACCCTCATGTATTTTTGCATTACTGCATATCAGATGTGATTATAAAAACTGTAAATGATTAACTTAATCATGAGTTTATTTTATTTATTTCAGCTGTCTGCTCTTCCAAGCAAAATGTCAAGTCGTTTTAACTTAATGGGCCTTGATAATTTGCCACCACAGCTTGAAAATAAAAAAACAGAGGTAGGTGTTTTATTGGCAGCATGAATAGTTTTTGTTTAATGATACATTGAAGGTTGTTTATGTTACACAATTCATCAAATAGTATTTGTTATGCTTAAATAAAAATAATTGCCTTGACTGTAACGTGTGATATTCTCCTGCTTTAGATGATGTAAACACTAAATATGTAAAGTAATAATGTGCTTTTCATTCAATTTAGGTGTCTGCTCTTCCAAATACATTTTCAAGTCGTTTTAACGTAATGGACATTGATGACTTGCCACCGCTGCTTGATAATCAAAAGTCAGAGGTGGGTAAATTATTGGGTGCATGGACTGCTTGCTTTTATTGATTAATACAGCTGGCTATGTAAGTTATCCACTTCATCACGCTAAGTTCGTTGTCTTTGTTGTTTGAAGAATGCCAACTGTTTATTTGCTTGAACCAAATTGCCATACAGAAAGGCAGTGTGCACAGAATGTGTAAGATACAGAGATTTAATTAAGGGTTTTCTCACCAAAGCAAATGTTTTCAAATATCCTCGCAGGGGTAAATTACCATTTTTGGAGGAACAGACCAAGATGGGGTTATGAATAGTTTACGAATACTGATCTACAACACCGGCCTGATGCTTAAGAAGAGCTTTGCTTGCTATGCTTCTATTGTTGTGTCCATGGGTTAGCTTTGTTAAGTTGACCAAAAATGTATGACGTGCAAATTAATGGATAACGTGTCATAATTTATTTAAATTAACAAAGATGCTCGAGTTGTTTGGTTTACCAAACGTGACTGAAGGCTTTGTACTCGTGTTGGCATCCTGTAACAGTGTTATTGTTTTATATATATTTTATTATTTATTGTTTCCCTTCAACGTGACTTTACCGAAAGAGCTAAGAATATGAATAAGTGTTATTGTGATTATTGCTTTTCAACATTTTTCCAATGTGCAGCACGCAGACCCTCCCGTGTTTCCTGTGCATGATGATGTGGACAGCAAAACAAACAAAGACAAAGGGAAGACAGATGAGACGACTAAAAGGTAATTTAAATATGTGTTTTTGTGTCTAATTGATGTCACACTTGTTTCTGGCAATTGTTGGTTTGCAGATATAATATGAATACATTTGTCAATTAAATTGGTTATTCTGTGTAATGTGTCTGCAGATTTAGAAAGCTCAATAGACTGTTTCATTGTAGCATATTACTGTCTAACAGTATTGTGGCCAAATCTTTTTTTTGTTTGGCTCATTACTAACACAATGGGTTTGTATTGTCAATCAAGAGAAGTCTGTGCATATTTGGCAGTTGTGGTTGCGCATGAGTTAAAGGTTGGTTGTTCGCTCATGTATTGAAAACTCTCATACCTGCTCAGATGTGAGGTGACTGGGAGATAAATGTCATTATTGCAATGCCATTAAGGGTAATATTACACTAAAAGTTACGAGACGATGTGGCAAGTACAGTATACTCATGGTGACAATGTAATAGCGTGATTCAAAGTGCTATAAAGTACTCTACCACCTTGTGGAATGCTGTATGTTGCCCGCCTTACGCCTCGCTCCGCAGTATTCATCCGCAACCTCATCGCGCTGCACTGTTTACGCATATGTAACGAATGCAAACATTTACGCTTACAGAATATATATTTTTTTTACATGATTTATGTGAGCATTTCCATAAAGTCGGATTTCCTTAAGTCTGGTCTTCCGTAACTCGGGGACTACTTATGCTTTGGTTTCCTTACAGACGTGTAATGCTCATTGATGGTATTGGCCAACCATTCCAATTCAGGACCCTCCTGAGAAGGAGTCTTGAGACTCAGGGAAGCTTTCCTGGGTAACAAAAAAGCATTCGAGTGTGATAATGTATACTTAATTATTTGGTGTGCATACCTACCTCCTAGCTTGGCAATTTGTTGGTAAGTTTTTGAGGTTCAAATGATTGTAATTTTGTTTTCTTAATGCCGACACTGAAGTCATGAAGCTTGGTCAGAGGAGGCAAAAGTTTCTCTTGCAGCCAGTGGAGATGCAAATGTGATACAGAGCCTCATAAATGAGACTCCAGAAGACAGTGTCCATAATGAACATTCTTTAAATGTATCCAACCCAGAGGCTGACGAGTAAGAAAAGCTTTGCATGTTATGCTTCCGTTGTTGTGTGCAGAAGTTTATCGGCAGTGTCATTCTCAGCTGTGCGATGCTTAGTAGCTGGTGTGCTGTAGATCATTATTCGTGCATTATTTACAAACCCACCTTGGTCTGTTTTTCCAAAAATAAGTTATATACTGTATAATAATTGCATACAATTTCTTGTAATATTTTCTTAGTTTTTTAATCTTAAAACTAATAGCTTTTTGTGATTTATCATGTCCTTTTGTACAATAAATTCTGATAATTAACACGCAAAATTATATCAACATAACTACACAGTTATCAAATAATAATCACATTTGATTAAATTAATTTCTTGCATTAAAGGCTCATTTCATTTCTAGGTCGCACATTTTAATAATCAAATGTTAAGAATGCACCTTGTTTTAAACATACAACTTTAACTACTGAAAACTACCTCGGTATTTCTCATACATTGTATTTTTAATATTCTGATGATGCAAACATTGCTTCATATTGAAATTGCTAAATATACATTTGTCTTAAACGTCTTTGGGGAGAGAAAAATCACAGACACAAAAAATGAGGAACATAATGGCCCCTTGTTAGTGCTTCTAGTCACGTTGATACCTTTCTGCATTTGAAATATTGCTGCTTTGTGTCTGATAGTCGCTAACAAAATGACATGTAATTGACATAATGATAGCACGCATAAGGTTACATACACGTGTAATGATTTACGACGGGTGTAGTAACTATCATGCATGTGCAATGGACTTTACTGTGTGTGAGCTGTCTTACCTAGTTTATTATGCATGTGGCTTTCCCTAAGCATCGAGTGCAGGCGTGCATTAAGCATACGGAGGAGAGTTGTGTTGGCTATTAGCTCATGAGTCTGGGGTTTGTCGGTAATAGCTGGTGTGGCAAATGCTTCCAATGTGCACAATCGGCAGAATCCATCATGGGCAGAGAGGTTAGCGCATATTATGTCTGTTTTATAGACTTACTTCCGATGTATTACCATGTTCCATGCATATTTAATATATATAAAAACATTATCCCAAAATATTGTCGATCAAACAACACTGAGGTACCCTTATTTAAATATATTTTACTCGTGACAGGCTACTACAGTGACCTTGCTGTCATACATATTTGTGTTCTGGAGATACTCTTCTTCAACAAAATCATTGTTAGCATTTGCCATTCTAGGAATTACCAATAATCCATTTTTGTGCAATTGCATATTTATTTACAATAATATGGTTAAATAATATGGTATTGTGTTAATTGTTGCTTTTATGTCTGGTGCTTCCATTGTGTAACTTGTACATTTTTGAAAGTCTTGAAATTGTATTCGTTAACGTTAGCCTCAAGTTAAAATGCAATTGTTTGTTGCCTTGCATACAAAACAAATGGAAGTTGATGTATCTATTCACAGACAACTTTCATCGGGCAAGTTTGGATTTGAGAAAGAGGCAAGCAAGGCAAGCAGTTCTAGCGTGCCGCTCATGGTTGTCGAGAAGCCCGTGAAAGATGGGCATGACAGCGAGGGAAGAGTGTCGGATTGCTTGAAAAATAAACCTCAACATGAACTAGAAGGCCGAGAGAAGCAGCTGCAGAAGGACAACGATGATGCGCTGGAGGAGCTGAAGAAGCAGCTGGAGAAGGAGTTGACTGAGCAGGAGGAGAAGCTGCAAGAAGAGAAGGAAGAGCGCCTCCGGAAGCTCAGGAACAAACTACAGCAAGAAGAAAGCGACACGGTAAAGCAGCTTGAGGAGGAGCTTAAGAAGACTAAGAGGTTGGTTGCGACATTTATAGGCTCGATCGGGAAAGCTGACACGTTTATAATGGTCTTAATAAAGTCAGAAGGCGCATGTACAGCCCTTTCGTGTCAACCCACTGCTGGATGAGGGTCTTCACGCATATTTTCTATCACGGGAGGGCTTATGACCAATCATCATCACGCTTATCAATACAGATTGGTGAAGGTGGGGAACATAGACGTGGAAGTATACAAGGACAGTATAACGATGAATATGGCTTCACCGCCCTCTTCCCACAATGTAGCTCTATATCTTACAGCACTTGTTATGCATCACAGCGCTGTTCAGGGTCAACCATGCTTAGCTTTCGAGATATGACAGGATTTGGTGCATACCGGATTATATGGTCATCGGGGACACATTTACAATAATTACGTTTACTTATCCAAGAAAGGCTGACCAAGTCTTACCAATTTCTTGTCAGGAGGGGTCCTGCATTTAATTGTTTGGCCCGTTTCATTCCTGAATGAATATGGGGGAATAACATTCACAGTTTGTTTCAATCAATGTTGTTTGTTAACTACATAACATTTGGTATTTCCCAGATAGTCTCCGAAACGAGTCCTAAGCCGGATCATACCTGCTATGCTTCTGAGATCAGACATTTCAAGTGATTTGCCGTTGGTGATTTCATTTTTTAGTCAGATCTCATGCTTCAGGTTCAGCATATGTTTTAACTACCAATGTTTGCCTTCCTGTTAAGTTTTAGTGGATGTCATACGTAAATTGTACTGAATAAATTAATCACGGGGTTGAGCAGTGGCACAGTGGTTTTGCATTGTGCAGTGAACCAGTCACGACTAACGTCAGTGATGAGTGACACCTGAACTGATCCTGGGCTTCCACCTTCACCAACCCGCACTGATCAGTCTGGTAAAGTATGATCAAGCAACCCCCCATTATGGACTTGGTATGGTGAGAGACTGACAAAGGGCTGTAAAGAAACAACCGAAATCGAAGCACACATGGAAGATGCAATCAGCCATTGCTGGATTCCTTGTAGGACTGTGGAGGAGCAGCATCGGGATGAGCTGCAAAGAGAAGAGGCTCGCCTGAAGGACGAATACGCGCGGACGCTTGTGCGCGTTCGAGAATCCCTCCGGCAGGAGACTGAAGAGGAGGAGCGGAAATTAAAGTGAGGAGAAAATGGCATCACACTATTTATTCCAAATGTACCGCAGTATTTCCAGGTTGCCTATCATTAGCAGTAATCTCCATTTCATCTGGCACGCATAAGAAAGAATGGTTGTGGATTGGACCCGATTCTAATTTGGTAACTGTACCATTTTACTACTGGTATATTTAATCATTTGTGGTTGAATATCAATAATAAAAAACGGCATGAGAATTAATCTCAAAAGCAGTTCATGCAGAAAGCAGATGGGGTGAGTGAAATAACGGTGGTAATGCTTAGCAATGTTCGTGTGTTACTATGCAGGCTACAGAAAGAAAAGACCTTGCAGGAGCAGAATGCGCTATTTTTTTCGATGGAAAGAGATCGGCTTGAAGCAGACAAGGAAGGTGCTTTGAAAGCGCTGCGCGAGGAGCTTGAAGTTGAGAAGCAGCAGGTGAGGAGGTCTTCGACGAACCGACTTCATACGCAGAGCTTGTGCCAAAGCATCCTTTGCAATGTCCTAAAAATATACTTATACCCATATGTCTCTAAATCTGCTGATTATGTAAATCGGAGTAGGGACACACGGAGCACAATTAGTGGGATATTCATGTTTTCTTATTTTGTTGCAGGTATTGGAAAAGCTAAAAGAAACCCATTTGCAAGAGTTGGACGAGTTGAAGTCTGCCGTCCAAGAGAAGCATGGAAAGGTTTGGAATAATGTAACCTTGAATCTACACACTTGAAAACTTTATATGCTGGTTCCAACATGAAGTATTTCAAGGATTATCCCAACCTGGATACATTGTAATCCATGGAACTGGATTTATTTTTTAACTTCTGTTAAAAATGTACATATTGAATTAATTCATTTAAGTAAAATTATATTTCTTTTAATCAAAACTGCATGATGAAAAGCACAAACTAAATTTGAGTAGCTTTAATGGGATCTAAATTCTGTAATGTCCAGTTATTCCGCTTTTTATAATTTCAAATATTCCAGATGAAATGGAGCATACCTGTACATCCTCATGACTCCTTAACTAACCACTTTTGATTTAAAGTTTAAATGTGCCATGTTTGCTCAGAGTTGTCAAGTTTGTTCTTGGTGGGAATTGTGGGAACTTGAAGGTCATTCTCTCCTTTAACTGAGTTAGCATTGATTTGATAATTTACTTTATTTGTATAGGATATTGATCATTTAAAGAAAGAGCTGGTGGAAACTCAGATGTTGGAAAAAAACGACGTTACGGAGAGACTTAAAAAGGCACAACTTCGACAGCAGCAGGTGGATGATTATGAAAAACAGGTACTGTTTATTCGTTTCCACTTACTGCGTTCCTCTTGCTTGAACTTCATAACTACGAACAGCTGGTACAACTATATTCTTTGGGTCTTTCGGTAAAGTCACTTAGATAGGTTCAAAATTATTAAAAATTAACAAAAAACAAAGACGTTTCGATCGCAACACAACCGATCGTCTTTCCACCTGAAGACGATCCGTTGTGGTTTTTTGTTTATTATTAATAATTTTGAACCTATCTACGTGACTTTACCTAAAGACCAAAAGAATATGAATTCCTGCAGTCACGAAAGCTTTAAGTCAAGCTGGTACAACGTTTAACACTCTACCGGATGCATGCCTTCATTCATTTCAAATATCAACTGTCGTGTGATAAGATTTATTTTTGTTATGCAGCTCAGTGAACTTATGAGAGAGCGAAGGACTGATGTGGAAAGGGAGCATGTGCAGAAGCTTGATGAGATGAAGGCTGACCACACGAAAAGTCTGCACAAAATCCGGGAGGATCACATGCAGGAGGTGAGAAGCATCCACTACACAACTGCCAGTGCACGTCTAAGCCTGTTGTAAAATATCTTGTGAAGGCAATACAAGTCGATATGCTTCCCTTGAATTAAACCTAGTTGTTTTTGGTCAATTTAACATTTTTAAACCACGACAGGAAAGTAATCTACGTAGATCGCTGATGGACAGCTGGAAGGAGGAGCGACAGAGGCTTCAGGAGCGACACGAAGAGGAGCTATCAGAGATGAGACGAGACCAGGAGAGGAGACTGGAGCAGCTGACCCTTGTCAACGCAGAGCGGGTTGGTGTTTTAGTAGAACCGCAGTAGAAGTTAAAACTAAACTAAAACTTTACATTTTTTTACTTTACTAGGTAAGGGCCACTGAGCTATCTAGCTCTTTTTCAAAAGCAAACTGGCCACAAATGGTAGCTCATCTGGAAATGTATGGCAACCAATACTTCCAACATACGTTTCTAAATGTGGAGGGAAAAAGCGGAGGACCTGTAAAAAAAATTACTCGACCAAGGGGAGAACATGCAAACTCCAAATATACAGGTGCCAGGGTTAGGATCGAACCCACAAACTCGTGTATACCAGGCGAGGTAGTTAACATCTCGCAACAGCAAGTTCTGTCTCAGGGATCGTTAATGGGGTCCAGGAGGAATTGGTCCCCCTGTATTGATTCACCACTTGACTTTCACATTTATGTGACCTAGCCCAGTCACTCCCGTTAATTTTTTCCCTCTTACCATCACTTCCCTCCCTCTCTTTTTGTTCTCTTTACTCCTCACTCCATTTATAACGAGGAACATATGAACTCCCTTTATTTGCATCAACTCCAGTTCTAGTCACTTTTATATACAGATATATATAATTCAACTTTATACATTGCTACCCTGCTTTGCACAGATTGCCTAACTTCATTAGTTATAGGGAAAGTATTATAGGATTACAGATTATTGACACTATGTATGTTAAACTTCTTTCGCATTGTACGTAGCCAACCGTGCTAATCGGCGCACTGTTGGAAATGTAATGGACAAGCGCATTTAAAAAAATATATTTAATCAAAGTTATGAACTTATCAATGAACCACTATCAGTAAAAGTTACATTTGTTCAAGCTCATCATTATTTTTAAAAAAAATTTAATTGTGTTATATCTGTGCTTGCAGGAGAGAGACTGGAAGGAAGAACATGAGCGTTTACAGCAGAACATTCTTGACCTTTCTGCAAAGAAGTTGCAGCTGCAGAATGAGGTTGGAAATAGAAAATGTCCATTGTCAAGTTTTTTTCCCTAGAAATTGCCTAAAGTGCTACTTCAGTTATTATGCAGTACGCAAGGGGGTAATTTAAATCTAATAAACTAGCCTTTTGCCTGTCCAAACTTGCAAGCGAAAAGCAGACCGTGACGTGATATATTCATTGCATCAATTCGTGTGCATTTTGTAAGGCCGCGGTGACACAGGTTATAATCCCTTGTTCATCATGACGTCCTTTTTACTATGTCGCAATAGTGTTACGGAGATCGCGTGACGTGAGGGTTCTGCCTTTGTAGTGAGGGTTGTCAGTTGACGCTGAGGAGGGTGGAGGAGGCGCCTCGCTCCCCCCCCATGTGTAGTGACGTCACCCGCTAATTAATATTAATGGAGGGGGGTGTCCATTTGTAAGACGTCACCTTTTCATGATTGTTAATGAGGGGGGCTGTTAGATGTGGAGTGACGTCACCTGCTCATTATTAATGAGGGGGGGTGCTACATGTGGAGTGACGTCACCCGCTCATGATTATTAATGAGGGGGGGGTCCATGTGGAGGACGTCATCTGTTCATGATTATTAATGAGGGGTGCTGGCCGTCGTGGAGTGACGTCACGCGCGGGACACACAGACATTCTTGGCTCATAGATGTAAATTTGTTAAACGTGACACTTTAATTGTCAGCAGTTAGTTGAAATAGTAGTATACCAGGTTTGGGATACAGATACATCACAAGGTTATGAAGCTATTTGCCATTGCGGCATTATATGTCTATCTTTTAAATGCATGTAATTGTGAGGTTCAATTTAGTGAGCGCTTGATCTTCGAAGAGAGTGTTGGAATGCAAATGTTGACCATAAATTATGAAGACTGATGATCGACCATTTGTTGGGATGTTGACAGGTGGAGGTTGAAAGGAAAAAGACGCAGATGAGGAAAGAAGAGCAAGATGCATTTGAGAAGGAGATACAAGTACTCTCTTATTTACACCATTACGATCACTGTTGATGGATTATTTTATTTGATTATTGAAAACATATTTTTACAGTTGAGGCATTGATGAACGATTTTAAATGATCATGGCATCGCTGTCCCAGTGTCAAGTTTCGGAAACCAGTTCACAGTTTATATGAAGAAACATGTTTCTCATGCGAAAAGACAAGAAAGTGCATAGTAATTCATATTTAAGTCCCTGAATGCAAATTTGGATAGCGAGGCTATGTTTTTTTTACACAAGGTATGCTAACGACACGCAGTTGTAACATATTTTGTGACAGCCCTGTAAATACTCTTTGGTTCTTTCGGTAAAGTCACGTAGGTATAAAAATAAAATAAATCACGACGTTTTGATCGCAACACAAGCGGGTCGTCCTGTGTTGTGATCGAAACGTCGTGATTTATTTTATTTTTCTACCTACGTGACTTTACCGAAAGAACCAAAGAGTATGGATTTCTTGCAGTCACGAAAGCTTCAAATGAAGCTCTGTGAATGTTATGTTAATCTCTAGAAAATATAAATTTTAAATGTTCCCTTTGATGTTGCCATCTCAAGCAAAGTTTGACAAATACAACTAAAGTACCGAAGGCATAGTGGTCTTTGATGTGAGCTTTTGTAGAACGCAAGTCATTGACTACAGAACCTTTCTAGTTTTACCTCACAAATTCATTAAACATTAACAACTTTGCTACTGCCGCTCCCAAACGGCGTTCAGACGCAGTTGTGTGCGTATATGCCGAGGCCTAATGGCAGGCGATGCTGTGACCCAGGCCAAAAACGGGGAGCTGCAGGAGCGCATGGCCCGAGTTGTGGAGGCCCTGCAGAAGGAGGAGAAGAGCCTTGAGGCGTCGATGCACGCCGCTCGGCGAGATCTGCAAGAGATGGAGAGGCAGAAGGCTGAACTGGCGGCCGAGTTGGATGCCTTGAAGGGCGAGGGCATCCGGCTGAAAAATAAACTTGGGTTCGTGCCACACCGCACCAATTGATAGAAGTTGGAGTATTTGTATACATTTTTATAATCCTTCTTTTGTAGATGTTATTTCCTATAAGCTATGACCATGAAAAGTAATAAAATATGCCATGTAAGGTGTTTGTGTCTTTTTTTATGAAAGTGGATTAAATTGTGTTTCTAAAGTGACATGGCACTTAATTTTGCCATCTCGAGCAAATGCATATCTGTGCCACGTTGCATTAACTTAGAACTCTGAATGTACCCAATCTCTCCAGATCTCAAAAGCTAAGCAGGTTTGAGCCTGGATTGAGCATGGATGGTTAACCCACCATGTACGAGCTGATTGTCATACTTGCAGAGTTACGATCTGAGCAGCAGAGGCCAGTGTGATAAAATCTGTTGATGTTTCTATGTGTTTCTATGCTCCCTACTTTTACCAATCGCTACTAAACAGTATGGTGAAGTATGGTTAACCTGAAAAGTGTGCGGAGGCCCTCATCCAGCAGTGGGTTGATGAAAGGGCTGTATATGTACGCAATGTGCATATGTATGCCGGGTAACGATGCGGTGTTTGACTTTCTATCTGTCAGTGAACTGCAAGAAAGCGTCACCCGCCAAGAGGGCGTGGAGGCTGCGTTCAGGGAGTTAAGCGAAGATACTCGTGGAGAGCTTCGTGCAGAGGATCTCACAGGTCCTGAGGTGACGGTGAGTGGATTGTTTTGTTCAGCCAAGCATACAGTCTCACTTTTAATCCTGTGTGCTCATGTGTGCTCATGGATGAGCAATCTTTCCGAAGGGCTCGACATTTCATTTCACGTCATTTATGTTGGAAATGTATGTCATTACCAAACCATGCTGTTTGCTGTGAAGTGGATGCTCAAGATCCTTTGGCATCATGCGTAAAAGTCAATATTGTCAGCTGAATCCAAACAACAATGATTGAATTTCAGAAATACAATTCGATGAATTTATTCACTCTGCATTCATAACTTTTCAGTCAGTGTTGGAGTGCCAAATGTTCCTGATATATTATCTCCTGTACTAGTAACCTGAGTTGCGTTGAGTCAATACAAATACATATATGTACATATAAATGTACGAATATGTATTGTTAAAATATAGTATATTAATACATTTCAAATGTAACATTAAGTAAGCGTTGAAAACCAAATTCAAATCCTCGAATATAGAAGCAATGCTATGTTCCTTTGCATATGAATAATAAAGAGTAGATAAAAAAAAACAATGTGTAAGTAAATTCCTGCTGAGCAGCTTGTTTACACGCTCTTTGTACATTTTGTGGAATGTCACAGAGATCGAGTGTGGAACCAGGCTCAAGCAATGCAGAGGATCAACAGATTGAAAATAAGCTCAAGGATATTAGCAGGTCTGTGCCCCACATTGCTTGCACTGCATGTATGCGATAATAAAATATTGACAATAGTATAGAATCAAAGTATTTTAACATTATGTAGTGGGAAAATCTTGATTTGAAGCTTTCGTGACTGCAGGAATCCACACTCGTTGGTTCTTTCGGTAAAGTCACGTAGTTATAACATGAAATAAACCACAACGTTTCGGGCGCAACACACGCGTCCGTCATCAGGTGGGAAAGCATGGCCTGCTGCAGACTGTTTAAAGTCAAAATTTTGATTTAAAGCTTTCGTGACTGCAGGGATTCATATTCTTGGTTCTTTCGGTAAAGTCACGTAGAAGGGAAACAATAAAATATGATTTTATTGTTTAAAGTCTGTTTAAAGTCTGCATCAGCAGCAGGCCATGCTTTCCCACCTGATGACGGATGCTTATGTTGCGCCCGGAACTTCGTGATTTACTTTATTTTATACCTACGTGACTTTACCGAAAGAACCAAAGAGTATGTAGTGGAAGTACATGTGATTTTTTTGTTGTAATTGGCAAATAAGTAACTGTCTTTAGAGTACTTTTGTTTTAAGAGCATTTTGAAATGCTCATAAACTTCAAGCAGGAATCAATGTGAATTTATTTTCCGAGTTAAAAACTAATTATAAGCCCTATAATACTGGCTAAAGGGTACATTTGACATTGTTGTAATTTGCATTTGATTTTATACATATGCAGTTCTTGAGTACGCATGAACGGATAACGAGAGGCCTAAGCTATTGCCCAATAGGATGTAATTTGAACTGCATTGCATAACTATTGAATAGACAACATAGGGAAGTTTCCCATGTAGTATTCTCTGTGTTTGTCATTAGCATTAGACAGTACATTGCCCAGGAGGAATGCTCCCTGCAGCGCGCACAACGCTTCATAACCGAGCAGATGAGCAGCCTGCGCCACCAGGACAATGCCCTGAGGTCAGCACGGAGATCACAGCGCACGCTCGGCATTTCTGGTACAACAGCGGAGGGGAACAAATCCCACAGGGTCCTGGAGCAGGTACGATGCACCTTGATGAGCACAACGGCTTGTTACATAAACATCTAAGGGGGATTACCACGAAGTTTGTCATTTAAGGGAAGACACAATCCCCAAACAAACAATCATATGTTATCTTGTACGTGTATAACCTAGACTTGTCCTAGGCTGCGTGACACAAGGTTGAAATGTTCAGCTCTTTTTTTCAATGCACAGCTGGATGAAGGCTGTATTACACAGTGCGGGGTATGGAGAGTCATTTGATAATACATCACCATGCTGGGTCAGTGTGTGTTGCTGCAGGTGGGAAGCAAAGACATGGGAGCAATGACAAACAGTCGAAGAATGTATATTTATGCGCTGCCCTTTGCTGCCCACTCTGTAGCTTTGGAACACATGCTGTGACGTGCACAGTGACAGAATGGTTCGTGTTGTCTGTGTACTGTTGAACTTGGTCTAACACGTGTAGTTGAAACCCGCCACCACCCGACACAGCCAACTAGTAAGGGTTGTCACGTAAACAGAACGTGGCCAATTCGTCACTATTACAGCACACCGGTGTGTTGGAGAGCCAAGCCATAACATTTACAATCTGAGTACGACGTTTCGCCAGTAATTACAACTAGCTTCATGAGGCGACAGCCAGATTTGTGGAGAAGTCTAACTGTTTCGTTCCTTATATAGAGGAGTAGATGTGGTGACCACGCTTCTGTGCTCTTGAGCAGTGTGGGGGGGGGTGGGGGATTACTGAGGCAACGTACATTATGCATGTGCATTATGCAAGCCCTTTGATCTTGTCCTTCCGGTCTATTGTGTGTATTTTAATTACTTGGGCAGTTTCAATGCTCGTGTTATTTGATTTGGTTTTTGAATAACACGAGCATTGAAACTGCCCAAGTAATTAAGACGATCCAAATACCGTACATTGCGGGAGTAACTGATAAACTAGCCAGATGTTTGGAAAAACAAAACATCCGAGTCAGATTTGGCACGGTACATAAAATACATAAATTAATATCTCGTACAAAAGATGTATTACCGAAGCTATCAACAGAAGGTGTGTACAGGATTACTGCACGTGTGGAAAATGTTATGTTGGGCAAACAGGACGAATGATCAGCACGAGACTAAAATAAAATCAACCCTTACTAGTTGGCTGTGTCAGGTGGTGGCGGCTTTTAATGACACATTTATATATTTACGCGATCTAACCCAAAAACTTCGATTTACAGCTTTCGTGACTGCAAGGATTCATCTTCTTGGTTCTTTCGGTAAAGTCACGTAGAATGAGAATAAAACAATAAAACAAAATAAGACAATAAAATTATCACGACTTTTCGGCCACAACACAAGTAACCTTCTTCAGGTGAGGAGAGACAGGTCTGTATGGAAGATTCGAGCTCTGTCTTCCATACAGACCTGTCTCTCCTCACCTGAAGAATGCTACTTGTGTTGTGCCCGAAACGTCGTGAGAATTTTATTGTCTTATTTTGTTTTATTGTTTTATTCTCATTCTACGTGACTTTATCGAAAGAACCAAGAAGATAACCCAAAAACCTCTATTATGACTGTTGAACTTGTTTTGCACCGTACGGAGCCAACCGTGCTAATCGGAGGCGGGTGAAGGACAACAAACTAAACATAAGCATTTCGATTTAAAGCTTTCGTGACTGCAAGGATTCATCTTCTTTGGTTATTTCGGTAAAGTCACGTAGAATGAGAATAAAAGAATAAATTAATAAAATAAAATAACACAATAAAATTCTCACGACGTTTCGGCCACAACACAAGTGGCCTTTGAAGCCCTGTCGTCCCGACAGGTCTGTTCCTTTCACCTGAAGAAGGCCACTTGTGTTGTGGCTGAAACGTTGTGAGAATTTTATTGTGTTATTTTATTTTAATTTATTATTTTATTCTCATTCTACGTGACTTTACCGAAAGAACCAAAGAAGATAAACATAAGCATTTGTAAAGACATGCGTTTTCGATTTCAAAGTGCATAGCTCCAGTGGTTTATATTCAGTTTCATTTATTAGGTATAACCCTGTTAAGCCATGCGGCTCTTTGAGTCGGGTGCAACAGCAACAAACAAAAACATGAACAAGAAACATCTTAAAGTAACTACACGCAACAGAAAGTCAGATGGCCCCAGAAGCACGCGATCCAGTGACCGTCTTTGTTCGATGGTTAGCCAACATCCACTGCTGCTGTGAGAATAACCGGGAGTTCATGTTATGGTTTATGCTCCTTGACGAGATCAGCAAGGCTTTGTTGTTCATTTGTGGTTAATTTTGCGCTCCCGCCTGCAGGAAGCAAAGCATCTGGCTGCGTTTAGAAGCACAATGCGTAAAGGATTCTGCCTTCTGCGGGAGAAGGAGGAAAAATTGGGGCTGCTGAAGGAGTCCGTGATGGACGTGGTAAAGAGAATTAACGTATCTATTTTAAATGTTTTGCTTGTCTCTTGAAACCATGGATAGCAACATAGAAAACACAAACATCTAATCGTATGTACAAAATTGTTTACAGCTACACCGTACACAGTATACATTTATGCAATGTCAAATACATTTATAGAAAGTCAAGTACAGGAATAAGACAGCCAAGGCAATCAAGCACAACATAACCTTCAATGCCTTCATGTCATAAATAGCATTCCCATGTTTAGTTTTTAAACTTAATTAAAAAGTGTATTTCAACCATGGAACTAATAATAATTGTCCATTTTAAGTGTGTATTTTTTGTCACATTGGATTGACATTAAGCAAAAAAGTGTATTCTATGTTAAACCTAGAGCAAATTAATACTGGCACGATAAATATGTAAGATAAATATTTTACAGTGAAAATCACTTGATCATTTCCGAAACCTGACTCGATGACATCACTTGGTTTGCTCCATAAGAAGGGTGTATTGACTTGGAACGCACGTTCACTTTGTAAATGATGTGCACATTAACCGTTAAACATGCAGTTGTGTTACAGGTCAACATTTTAATTATCACACTAATGTACTTTTAACCTGTGTCTTAATGTCGCTGCCTTAGTTGTCAGATGAAGAAAGCCAAGGAGTGCCACTGGATGGCAAGAGAGTAACATTTGATGTCGACATGTCATCGGACGATCTCAGCAGCGAAATGGACTTGGACTTCAGCTCTCAGCAACGTAAGCAAAACTTTTCTATAAATTGACCTTTATCTTTAAAATGCCTTTGACTAAACCACCTGGATTGCACTTCTTCTTGTCAGGTCTCGGATATTGCTGGGATGGGTGACCTCCATACATATAACAATTTTTATAGGCTGCTGTGGTGCTACGCTTTGGTCAGCAGAGAGAAAGTACAGCCTAATCCCTTGTTTCACTGTACTTCTACACTTCCATTTCTATGGTCCTTGCATTTACCAACCTGCAATGGCCAGTATGGTGAAGTATACAGTAAAACCTTGGATTGCGAGCATTATTCGTTCCGGAAACGTGTTTGTAATCCAAAGCACTCGTATATCAAAGCGGATTTCCCCATAAGAAATCATGGAAACTCAGATGATTCGTTCCACATCCCAAAAATATCAATATAAAAATGATCAATACAAAAGAACTTTTTATATTTTTACTATTTAAATTTAATATAAAGTAATCAAATGTATTAATTAAATTTAATTGTGACTGGTGTGAGGGAGACGAGAGAGAGGAGAGGAGGAGGAGGAGGGTTATTGTGTAGGACGACTTTCACTGTCACGAACGGAATCACTGCTATCTGTTGGGTCACTGGAATCTGTTTCTTTTTGTGCGACTTTAACAAGGAACCTATCCCAATGACACTTGCTTTTGCCTCCTTTTGAGGATTTCGCAGAAATGTGACATTGCATTGTCGGGCCATTGTTGCAGTACAGTTACTAAAGAACAGTCACTACACTTGGACACAAAAGAAAAAAATGCTTTACGTACACACGTGGTCACAACACTATAGTAAACAGTATACACATGGTCACAATACTATAGTACTGTAGTAAACAGTATACACGTGGTCACAACACTATAGTACTGTAATAAACAGTATACACGTGGTCACAATACTATAGTACTGTAGTAAACAGTAAACGCTCGCACGGATGTTGACTATACGAGTGAGGCACGCCGACTTAGACCGAGCATGGGAGACGATTACCCACAATCCCGCAGCGAGAGAAGAACCATCGGCTCAGTTGTGATCACGTGACGCTCGGCAGACAAAGCGTATACATACACATATTCTTGGTTCTTTCGGTAAAGTCATGTAGAAGGGAAATAATAAAATAATAAAAATAACTTTTATTATGTTTTATTCTTATTATTTTATTATTTCCCTTCTACGTGACTTTACCGAAAGAACCAAGAATATGAATCCCTGCAGTCACGAAAGCTTTAAATCGAAACGTATACCTACTACTCGTATTGCAAGACCTCGTGCTCGTTTATCAAGTTAAAATGTATTTAAAAATGTTGCTCGTCTTGCAAAACACTCGCAGACCAAGTTACTCGCAATCCAAGGTTTTACTGTAATCATATAGCCACCATGACCTGTATAGCATGTGGAGGCCCTCTTCCAGCAGTGGATTGACAAAGGGCCATACGTGTACATATGACCAATCTATCTGGAAAATTCATGAAGTTTGTAAGGTACCATTCAAAAAGTTTGTAAGGTATCAAAAATTACAATATACCAGGTAATACACTGTGTTTTAGCAAAGTGCAGACGAAAGGGTTAGCACAGCCTAATCCATCACAACATCATGCATGTTATATAAGTTGCAAGTATACACTTATAAAAATGATGACATTGTGGCTAAAACATTTAGGATGAATTTGCTCTTTTTGTTATTTTGACAATTAAACATTTATTGTCAGAATACATTTGTGTTAAGGAACATAAATCGTGTACTAACCAACGTCTTACATGTAAATGGTCACAACATTTTAAATTGATTTTAATGAGTGCGTCAATTGCACGCATTACATCGAGTTAAGTTTAGTAACTCTGCATAATGGTTCAGTTGGCAAGTGCACGTGTAATCACAAAGGATATTAATGGTTATTGAGCCAAATTTCCTGGCTTGTGATGTCACGTGGAATATGCCAACAAAATGTAATGTTTTTTTATTCCAAACTGTTAAATTGAACGTTCAATGTAGGCAGCCAGGATATTTGCTTTTAAGCACCAGCTGGGACAATAATGCTCCAAGGACAACTCTTAAAATAGAATCTCCCTGGATTTGGCTAAGCTGATTTTATATGCGCATTTGCGTGTGTGGCTTTGACGTGATAATCCACAGGCTTTACAAACCACTGGAGTGCAAAGGTATACATGCCGCTAAAGCTCCAACACATGTCACGCTTTTCTTTATGTCAAAATATGTTTGTTTTTTAATCTGTGAGGAGTTGTAGTTGAAATTAAAAGCATTTTTGTTTATCTGCGACAATGTAAGAAAACCAAGGCAAAAAATGCATGATTTCCATGAATTTGTAAAACTCGTGAAAGTTGCAGTTGAATTCGTAGCCAATGGAATCCGTATTAATTTGGTGGTTAAATGGAGTTTTGCGTAATATAATGCATCTTTCTCAATATCAATTTAATTTGTAAACGTTAATCAGTCTTGTGTCCGCACTACATATCTTGATCTTCTTACGACGTTTCGCCAGTAATTACAATTAGCATCATCAGGGCACAACTAGCATTATCAGGCGACATTCAGATTACTGGTGAAACGTCAGAGTCGAATTGTAAATGTTGTGGGTTTTCTCTCCAACACCAATGTGCTGTACGAGTAACGAATTGGAATGTTTTGTTTATGTGACAAACCGTAATAATTGGCTGTGTCGGGTGGTAGCGGGTTTAACGACACATTTATATTTATGCGATCTAACCCAAAAAACCTCTTATGGATAATATTAGTCACAAAAGCCTACGTGTTAAACATTTTTTATATTGTTTTTTTTTTATAGGGATCCCACAGTCTGCTGTGCAAGGTGTTGAAGTGCAGCACCTAAGCTCCTCCATCCAGAGGCTGAGTCGAGAACTTACAAACGTTCTCACGTTGCTGGGACAGGCGCAGCCTTCGTTAACATTTGGCACTCGGTTTGCAACAGGGGCTTTCCCGGCAGCTGTGACCGGGGGTGTTCCCATCTCGGCCTACTTCAGGTAGCATAGGAGAGAGAAAAAAAACTTCTTAAAAACCACACGCCCTCTCGTGTTCTGCACACGAGAGTTTTTTGCAATGTTGTATCATGCAGTGGCATTGCAGCAATTTGTGATGAAGTACTTAGTACCCATTCTTTCAGTCAGAGGAAAGTTGGAAATGTTAATGTAATCCGGGGTAGAGTAAGGTTCGTTTTATTTAATGGGGAATGGTAGGTTAAGTCACTAAAAGTTGCATCAAATGTATGATCATGTTGTTACTAAGTGGCTACATTTTACGCCATTAGTGATAGATCGGGGCAATTGTTAGATTCTATACGTAAAGTAATGAAACTCATAAGAATACATCTTTATTTTTAAACCAAGTTATCATTGTGGTTAAGTGGAAAGGGATTCTGGTATTCCTAAAATGTACAAAGAATAACGTTTGCAGTATATTTACCCGTGAATGTACACATATGTAATCTATTATTTCGATTTAAAGCTTTCGTGACTGCAGGGATTCATCTTCTTGGTTCTTTCGGTAAAGTCACGTAGAATGGAAATAAAATAATGAAATAAAATAATAAAATTCTCACGACGTTTCGGCCACAACACAAGTGACCTTCAGGTGAAGAAACAGGTCTATCAAGAAGACGGAACTTGAATGAACGCTGTTAAGCAAGGACTGTGTCTATTGAAACTGTGTGGGCAGAGTTGAATTAGCATGTTACCAGCCCCACCTCCTTGCTTAACAGCGTTCATTCAAGTTCTGTCTTCTTGATAGACCTGTTTCTTCACCTGAAGAAGGCCACTTGTGTTGTGGCCGAAACGTCGTGAGAATTTTATTATTTGATTTCATTTTTTTTATTTCCATTCTACGTGACTTTACCGAAAGAACCAAGAATATGTAATCTAGTTTGTTCCGATAACATTTGTTAACATTTAACTTCTATGCTTGAAGGCCATCCCAGATGGGCCTTGGGTCTTCTGCTCCTCTGGCTCATGCTTGGGGCCCTGTGCCGGCGAGTGTTACTCAGACTGTGGATGAAATGATGGCTGAGAAGTGGCGCAAGTATTTTCCAGGTTTGTGGGACGTGTGCCCCATACTGCAGCCAAACATTCTCCGCTGTGAATTTCGACTTTTAACTCTGAAATCCGGGTCCACGCCTGGAGCAGTCGGTTACATGCAACTTGATTGCATGCAACCGACTTGCTAAAACGTGGACGTCTCTGCAGCCAGTTGGGAGCAATTGTACAACCGATTGCTTACAGAAGAGATGGACTCTACCTTCAAGCATCGATCTGCCCAGCTATTGTAGTGATGCATTTCATCACGTGCACACATTTGGGTAATGCGATTGGAAGTTGCAATCCTGAATATGTCGCTTAATTTCCTTGTTGCGCAACTACTGGCTCAGATGTGGTCAAAGCAGTTTCAGACAATGATAACATGTTAGCGATTTTGAGAGCGACTTTGTTGCACAACTGATCGCTCAGATGTAGAACTGGGTTTTCATTATCAGAGCCTTATTTCTGCGTTGTAACAAATCGAGCATTTATGTGGCCTATTTTTATCCCAATTGAGCAATAGGTCACAGACTACACTCTGCATAAATATAGATGTGGTATACAGAAATGAATATACACAACTTGAAACTGATAGTATGCATTGTCCATCTGCACTATTTCTATCTTGTTATTTATGTCTCGTTGGTTATGTTCCCACACATTTAGGAGGAATTCCCCCACTTGGATCTACGTCCACTATCAGGACGGAGAACATGATGGGATACCTATCTGCCAGGTATCAGATGTGCTGAATTGCTTAATTTCATACTACATTAGAAAAGAAGTATGTCCGGCTGGATTCCTGCCTGGCTGCCTTTCATATGGCCAATTGCGCTTGCGCTGTGATAACGTCACCGCGCACATTTGCGTCACCTGCATCCTACAGCGTTGAGCCGGGTTTGTGCTGACGTAATGCGTCTCCCCTACCCACCACCCACTACCCTGGCCGCATTTGCATGGGATACGCTATCATATCACACAATGATTATAAAAGTTTGGCTCTGCTGGGCTAAAAGGTTAGCGTGCAGCCCAAAGGTTGGGTGCAGTCCAAAGATTTCCTGCAGCCTAAAGGTCACGTGTGGCCCAAAGGTCACATGTGGCCCAAAGGTCGTGTGTGGGGCCCAAAGGTCAAGTTTGTGGCCCAAAGGTTTTGTGGGCCATTCTCTAGCACATGGATTTTATTGCAGTGCGAGAGATCTGAATGGATACTTTCTGTCATGATGATGTGACACCGATACCACAATCAGGATTAAAAAAAATGCTTTATGAATATTAACTTGGATTCGCTGTTGTGCAAAACTGCAAAAAACAAACCTCTGCAAACACTTCTGTTCATTGTTTATTTATTACAGTTTTCTACCCATATGAACAAACTCCAAGTTAAACAGTTTAGCACGGGAGCATGTGCTTAGTAAGTGGATGGTGGTGTGTTCAGTGAGCAGGTACGCCGATTCCAACAAGCTGGAGCCTTAGGAGTCGGTGTGGACCCATCCAGCCTGCAGGACTCGATCGCCCAACACAGAAAGTGGCTGCACGACTTCAGAAAAGACAGCAAATCGTATCCTTACAATGGTGGTGATGTTAATTACAATGACGGCGTTATAGCAATGTCAAAATATTCACGCATTTGGGTAGCTTAGCAGAGTGTGCCCTTTTTCAGTGTTTCGGGTTTGCACAGAGCCAACAGTTTCATTGCTGTAGGTTGGCTGGTGATTATAGCAACGCATGCTCTATCATCAGTAGTTATTCCTTACCAGTGTATTATGATAATAATGATAAATGCTACCATTAGTGTTTATCATTTTTTATTAAGAGTGGTGACTACTTGACGGGCAACAGGGAGCAGTGCAGCAAAATCAGTTGTTGTACGGTACTTCTGTTCTCCAACGTACATGTTTCCCCGACTTCACCAACCTGCACTGACAAGAGTGATGTATTGCTCAAGTAAACACGCATGACTCACACGGCTTGGAGAGGCCCTCTTCCAGCAGTGGGTTGAAAAAAAGACTGCACGTGCACACGATTGGTATGACAAATACAACCAGCGACTGATACGCACACGTTGGAGCCAAAGAACAGCCAGATGCCTAAGGATACCTAAGGCAATTACTCTGTAACATAAACTGTGCGAGGGCATTTCACCAGTTGCACGCACACACAGGTAAAATTTATATTATGAAGTGCATTTAAAATTATTTGTGTGAGTTAGTTGGTGGCATGTCAATAAACTGTGTTTCATTGTTGAAGGTTCAATTATTCCTTAATGGATCAGCCCTCTGATTCCTGCCAGTACTACCATGTCCCTGTCCGGTCGGCCGCTCCAGCTGGGCTTGGATGAACACAACAGCATCCACGTCTATCAACAGTGACGGAGGCCCCCTGACGGAGATCGCCAAATTGTGTGCTCCGCGATCCTGGTTCTATGCACTTAGCGGATTTTAGAATGTTTACTTGACTCATCTGAAGCAACAGCTGCAATAGCTTCGAAACTTAAGTCCGAGTGGGTGGTGTGATTTGGTGCGTTTAATAAAAATGAGGTGGCCAGCACAATTGAAAGGCGTTGTTTTAAAGATGAAGCTTGTATCGCGGATTGACCAAGTGGAAGACGCTACTTAATTTTACTGTGATACTTGTTCATCATTTTGGAGGCACAAAATAATGTACGACAGAGGCCACTTGTGAACAGCTTCAGAAGAAATGCATACTTAAGCAGAACTCGGTCTGTCACCGCACAATTTATTTTTTAAAGAAGTGTTTTCTTAAGGAAAAAGCATTCTTCACTGTGACTATGTAACTCATCTCGGTACTTGCTGATAAGCCACTCATTTTTGAAATCACTCTTAAAAAGTGCCTTCAAAATGCAATGAGCTCGTGGGTAATCAATACTCACACGTCATATGTATTTAAACGTGACCAATTTAATTGTACAATGAAGATGTTAACATGGTTACAATTTTAATTCTTGATACAAATACGTAGGGTTTTAAAATAAATAATTATTACTACGTAACAAATGTTACACTTCTTGCATATGAAACTTAAACTGGTTTGATGGACCATATCGTGAACCACTGTCGTCCACGCTGCTTCATTGGAAGAATAGCAAATCGACACGAACTCTCTCCTGAAGCCCTGTCGTGGCTATCAGACCTCCACATCGGCATTTAGCTCCTGAACATCTTGCCATACGCAAGAACAGAATGAGTTTGATCGTATTCAATACAGACATATCATATTACACAGTGTGGTATAGCCTTAACTTTATAAAACATTTTCTAAGCAATAACATAAAAAAGGTAATTGAATGTAATTTGTATTTGATAGGATACACTGCAACACCTGTATATTTTTTGCTTCAATGTATGTAAAGGTGTGTTATTTAAAATCAGTTTAGAACATTGCTTTTTCACAGTTAAGATATATAAATGTCATAATTAAGGTTTTGTAATACTGTACGTGGCATGTTTAGACCCCTGTGCATGCCTGCTTTGTTGAGATTTAACTTTTCTCTTCCGTTGTGAATGTCACATTTACAATTGATACATTCAATGGGAATTGGGAATCACATCTAACCCAACACGTGAGCATTTGTTTGAATGTATTTTAAGTAATCAAATGGTGTTTGTTATTGAGCAAAATCTGAAAGCTTTCTTTCGTGTGATATTCAAATATTTATTTAACTTTGTATGGGTGCTGTTGCATCATTGCTGTACGCTCATCTTGGGTTTTTGTTCCATACGTGTGTTTTAAACAATTAAATACCGCACTTAAAAAACACCCTCTCTTACAAGTTTTACATTTGGTCCATTTGCATCTGATGTAGGTTTAGTGATGACATTTTGAGAGCAAATGAAAGCCTATCAAGAGCTTTGCCAGGATTATGTATCCACATGGGACACAATGATGGGGAGAGGCGGGTTTGTGTGGGGTGTTTTGCGGAAGAGACGAGTGTGGCTGATTTAGTTGCCTTGGTTACTCAAAATATCTGAAGTTATAAAAAATAAACCCCACAAAGTTGGGCCTCTAGTCCTATGTGATATGCCAACAGGGTGGCCAGCACACTGCAGTTATTTGCACATGAATTGTTAGACGTGTGTCTCCGGTCAGCCGTCTAGGACCCCCCCCAGATGGCTGGCGTGGTGGATGTGTGGAGGGGATAATGTGTGGGAGAGGGTGGGGAGCGCGACCACCTCCCCTTTGGCCTAAAGCGACTTATGTTAGAAGCGAAACGGCCACGAACGCAGCCGGGAGTCCACGCGTGGTACCCGAACCAGCCTCATGTGGTTCCAATTCCTCTCGTCCGCCGTGGACACTATGCTGGCGACTTTAGTCGCCATCCTGTACGTGGTAACCCGCAGGGTCAGCGAGGTGAGCGCCCGTGGTGTTTATGTGCGCGCACATTATATGTATATGTCAATGTGCATTTTAGAAGCATACATTAATTGTTCATACCTTGCAGTAATAAGACGAGTGAGTGTCGTTGCTCAAGTCTTGACAATGTTTTTTTTTTCCGAGTTGATATGCACCCGCGTTAGATTTTTTGTTGAATCAATGTTGCTCATTTTAATGGGCAAACGCTTAATTTGAAAACGCACCTTTTAAAACGTGACGAGGGCAGAGTGTTTTCGACGTTCGAGTGGTAACGCGACACGACAAAGCTCTTTGCGAATGGGTCGTTCGCTTTGACAGCGGCTGAACATTCGGCGCGACGCAATGCAACCCGCAACTTGCTTGTTTGCGCTTCCACAGCTGAGCTTTGGTTTCTTCAGCAAGGAGCAGCAGCCCGTCCCGTACCAGCTGCAGTACCCGCTGCCCTGGCAGGTGCTGTCCGTCTCGCAGAGTCGCCGAAGCTCCAGAGCAGAGGTACGGACACCTGTGTGTGTGTCTCCACCCTCTCTCACCGTTGCTTCATCTCGGCCCCTTTCAAGTATTAAGAAGGCGTCAAAGGTTCCCCGTATTGCCTTGATGGACTTGGGGCAAGTGCTGCGAGCGAGTAGTAGCACCTATTTAGGCCGGCACGGCACACGAGGTGGTGAGTGGCCAGCACCACGCCCTGCCGCCTTTGTGTCCCGAGTGGTGATGTTTACACACCGCGTTAGGTACTCATTTGAGGCTGATTCGACGTAGGGGAGGCCCAGGGTCGGTTCCGATAATCGTCAATGGTGTTGCCGAGAGCTGGAATATCCCATCCATCTACTTGCACGCACAGCGGAGGCACACATTTCTCAATGTTGGTGAAATGGAAAAAAACAACTGCTCACTTTCTTACACAATCAATTTACTCAAACTTTCCAAAATAACGATTGAAAAAAGTGGCATTGAGAACTAAAATTTCCATTGAAAAAATTGTAACATTGATAATGTATGAAATTAAGTGGCACGCTTTCACTCTGATGTGTTTTTGGGTCATTGCACGCATTGTTCGGCATGAAGTCCGACGTTTCGCTTCACGTGCTGGGTGCTTTTTAAGTAAATTATTTCAGACTTAGGACATCATGCCAAACAACACGCGGTACAACCCAAAAAAACGAGTTGCTACCTGGCTAGATTTGATCCGGACAGTCTGGGAATTTGTACGTGTTTGGGTGCCAAGAATTGATTTGTACTGAGGTCTGCGACTGGTATTGTGTTGAATCTTATTACAGAATGTGGCAGTGCCCAAGGGCTCATTGAGAAATGTCAGGATTTGGTCAACAGTGGAAAACGTGGCGACCCTACCAAAAACGGATTGGAGAGCTATACAGCACAACCGCGAAAACCGCTGTAGCAACATGGTTTGACATTTTAAATGGAACAGGGGGAGACTCAATGGGTGGAAAGTAGATCTTTATCTGATCATGCGGGGATTGACCGCGGCATTTCTCTGCCTAAAGAGAAATGCAACAATATTCTGAGAAACTCACAACAAATATTAAGAGTTAACACAATAGCTGTATTAATCGTGCATTTGAGCCAGTTTTTTTTCCACTTTAGCCACCCGTGAACGTTCTAAATTTTAATGAGCTCAACATGCCCGAGATCAAGGCACGGCTCATGGGGGGGGAAACGTTTGGAGTCTAAGTTTCAGAATTTCACCTGAACGCCAACCCTTATTAAGCCCATGAGCCAGCTCGTGGTCACAAAAAAGGTTGAGGCTCGTCGTGCTCAGTCAGTTGACTTAATAGAATGAATTATAGCGTGACCTCTTGCGGAGTTTATTCATTAGAAAGTTTCGTGCCCGCATGTCCAAATTACTTTGAGAGAAAGAAAAAAAAACGCACCCGAGAGTGCTTTCCCAACAAGGCAAAGCTTGAAGCAGCGCACCCATTTCCTAATTAAAGTGCGGTGGAAATTTCACATTGACGTGCTGAGGTTTTGTCTACCCAAAGGACGATCGCTGTGGCACTTTTATCGACTCGAAAAGCCAATGGACTGCTCGGTCAGCGTCTGCTTGGGATTGAATCCCCTCCACAGCCAGTTCTATGGTGATCTGACCAACCGTTTTCATGCAATTGATTGCACGTGGTCGCTCACAAATGTATTACCACTGGCAGATTTAACTTTATTCGTGTGGCGGGGACGCTTATTTATCAATGCAGCTCAGTCCTGAGTTTGTCTCATCTCATCCACATTGCAAGTTTGTGCCGCGATCTATAATACTACCACGCGTTTTTCTTTCGTGTTTTCATGCTGTGTTGCGCACACGCGTAAATGCCTTTAAAAGTTTTTGGAATCGACCAATGTGATTCATTTCATCTGGCCGTGTAAATTGAGCCGCTTATAAAACGGTGATCGCTCAGTTTTCCCGAATGTTACTTTTACCGCTGAAAAACTATCAGCATAGGAAGTGTTTATTATACCTCAAAAGCACTCGTAATAACTATTATTATTATTGTGATGTATATATGGGTAGAGTGGGAAATGATGACCCAGTGGCTGGCACATTGTGCTTCAAAAAACCCAGGGACCCCAGTTTGATTCCCAGCCACAGCGAACATCGGTGGCAAGTGTTATCAGATCCCTGTGATTGGTCTGCTATCGGTTGGCACAGCTTTAAACCAGACGTCAATATCAGCAGGACGGGTGAGAAAAAGCGGTGCTGGGTGTGGTGTTGCTCACACCATTCTGTCATGTGCTGTGCTGCTCTTAAATAGGTGCCCCATAACAGCACTTACCATAACAATGTGAACATCTGTACGGACGATCTTTGTTGTGTGTGCGTATGAATGCGTGTCGGCATTCGTACGGGAGCGGTAGTGTCGCGGTTAGCGCGCTACGTTACAAACCCGGTGACCCGAGTTAAACTCCTGCTCACGGCCAACACCAGTGACGATTATCTGAACCGGTCCTTCAGATGAGTACCTGGTGTGGTGTGTAAACATCGCCACTGGGGAGACGAAGGCGGCCGGGCATGGTGCTGGCCACTCACCCCCTCGTGTGCCGTGTCAGCCTTCGTAGGTGCTTGCTAACAGCACTTGTCTCAAAATAATGCTGAGCCTATACGGGGGACATTTGTCTTCTCACGGAGTGATGGTGAGCCCCACCGAGCAAGTGAAACTTTACGTATGAATATTAACCAGCAGAAAGATTATGTTTATTCTTACCGTATTTGCGCTACAAAATGTCTCTTGCCACGTTCGTTTCACATATCACTATATCATTGACTACGGTCACGATCATCATCAGCCATGGTCACTCCACTGCTGAATGAAGGCATCCCCCAAGTCGCTGCCGCCTCTCATGACCCCGTGATGTTACAATCCACCTAGCATCTGCACACGAGCTTATTTCAGTGCCTTGTCATCGGACAACATTTGTTGCTGAATGAAGGATTACAATTTTCCGTAAAAGTAAAATATATATAATTTTCTTTGTATGCACATCTACTTCCAATGTGTGGTTGTTCAAAGTGTACGCTGCCACGTGTGTTCCGTTGTGTTTCTTTTTCAGAAATTATGGAACGTTTACGATGGCTATTGAGTTTTGGTGAGTCATCTACAAGCCACGATTAGCAGAGCCTCAACATTCGAGAACAACAATTCACGATTTCGCAAAAATATATATCATTCACCATTTTAAATATGCTGTATATTCCTGGGTTGACATTAAACAAGATAGTACATTACAGTACTTGCCAATGGTGATGTATAAGATGCATTTTGATAGATACGCAGGATGCAATATTGTTGGCATTATATACACTCGAGTTAAAGTTTTTTTTTTTTCCAGTGGGATGCATCAACAATCGACTCCTTACGCTGTGGAGGTATTAGCAGCCGAAGAAGATTGTTTACTCATGCTAAGCGCGTCCCATCACCATTCTCTGAATTGTGCAGACCTGTCATACCGCAGATGGGGGTTCATCACGCTCACAACATTGGCCAATGGCATTTTAAAGACACGTTACACGAGTTTAAAACGCCAGATGGACACATTGCAATGAATGAAACAAAATAATAACTGTGAATCGGTTTCTTTCGGTGTTTGCGATTACCGATGATTTTAACACAATAAAGTTATAAAGGGGGCCCTACATTAAAAGTTTTAACTGGCTCTTGTACATTACACGAGATGATATTAAACATTTGAACCTATTGCTAGTACAACTGTGCGCGGTATAAAAATAAGAAAAAAATTCTAAACATTTTTTTTCCCTCGATTCGCAACTCCGGTCAGAAAATTTGGCGGGGTGCATCTTCTTGGTTCTTTCGGTAAAGTCACATTACAACAGATCACTGTTATAATTCAGTGGGCTCACGTGACATTGACTTCTCCAAGACGGAGGTTCTCTGCAAGCCATCCGGCTACCATGAGAGATTCGTTCATGAGGCCATCCACATATACAAACACAGAGACAATTTCAACCGAGAAGATGGATTCTGGCTTAGTAACCATTGGAAAGATTTGATAAACCATTTCGGTTCTTAATTGATTGTATTTTACGGTGACCTTCAGACCGCAGTCCATTCGCTGGCATTGCCTCTCACACCACGGTTAATGGTATCGTTTATAACATGTGGTATAATAATAAATAGTATAACATTATAATGTTTAGCATAATTCATAAGGCAATATATAGCATCGTAATTGCATAGTGAATATACAGCAGTGTGGTATATATTTGGGTTCATAGAATAAGACATAGTGTAATGTTACAAGCCTAATATTTTATAGTCTAAAGTATAGGGTAGTGTAAAGTAACGCATTGTATAATTCAAAGGTGGAATTTGTCTATGGATATGATGTTATACCATGTAGTTTAGATTGGAAGGTATAATATTGTACTGTATAGTAGTCCAGTTTATAGCATAGTCATAATGCAACACAGGACACAGCAGCGCTCCTTGGCTGTTTCTCTTCTTTTTCTGTGTGCCCAGCCCCCCCTCCGCTCCGGAGGTGGAGCTGTAACATCCAAATTCATGTTAACTCCGCCCACACAGCTTTAAAGACGCGGCCCTTGCTTAACAGTGTTCACTCAAGCTCTGTCTTCTGGACAGACCTGTTTCTTCACCTGAAGAAGGCCACTTGTGTTGTGGCCGGAACGTCGTGAGAATTTTATTTTATTATGTTTTATTTTTGTTATTTTATTTCCATTCTACGTGACTTTACCGAAAGAACCAAGAAGATGAATCCCTGAAAGCTTTAAATCGAAATTTGGCGGGGTGGTGCGTCAAAATCAGTTCTTGTGATGTTGAGGCAGTCGGAAGACGAACGCGATGAGCAGCTGAACGCGAAGGTTCGCAGTCTGTTGCCCGATAGCAGCACCCAGCCTGATGACGATTGGCTGCTCCGTGTTCCAAAGGGAAATGTTGACTCCTCGTGCCCTCGACTTGGTCGGACGGTTAATCGATTCAACATAACCCAAATCAACGGCTAATATTGACCTTTTTTTTGGCAAGTCTCAGCAAACTGAATAAACCTTCGAATCGTCTCAAACTTGGCGACAGGGTCAATTCAAGTCTGATGAACAGATTTTAATTTTCAAATGTAGATTTTAAACTGTTTCGTGACGACCGGTGTGCTATGCTGCACCACCGGTGTACTGTCAAAACGTCCATTTGTTGACCATACTTGGGACGCAAGAATGTTGTATATATGGGCTCTCTGGATGGAAATGATTCTCAACGGTGTGTATATTTTACATACGATATAGAAAAGCCATATCATACTCAGACCATTATTTCAGCTGGTAATGCCCATTGAGCTAGGCAGCTCCTTCACAAGACTCAGTTTATAAGGACAACCCATATGTTTAGCCAAGCTTGTGTTTCATGGGAAATGTGCATCCTTTTTACCCTTCGGAAGCAATATTATATTCCAGTGTAACTCTGTTTAGAAAAATACCTTATTGTAACATTTAGAAATACTAATTTTATCACTCAGAATGTGGTTGAAATATATCTATTACATAAAAGCAATGTTTGTAATGCAAATAATTAATGATAATATGTTGCTGTCTATTTAAAACGTCTCGATTTTAAAACGTCACTTTTAAGTAAGACCATGTGGAATATTTAATACAAAGGGACTCTATATTCTTGGTATTATTTTCACCTGAATGCTTAAGTAGTTGTGTCTGCTGTAGTTAACGCATATGTACTTGTAAGTTCGTCGTGGTATTTATATGTACTGTAAGTTTATAAGCCGTCGAACAGTGTGTAAGCAGAGTGATACACAATACTTTGTGATGATCCCAGACCGTTGGAGGCAATATTGGAGAGGTGTGGCCTTTAAACCCCGTGGCATGTGTGTCACAGTGGCATACGTGTTTTAGTAATGCGACGCTAATATCTTTCTGTCAAACAAATGATTTGGTGATGCTGCGTTGCCAGCGCACGGGGCAATGGTGAGACCACAGAGAGGACAGGTCGACTTTCATTCGAACTTTTTCTTCTTCGTGCTGTACGGCTGACGTAGATGCAGAGCAACGACTACAATTTCACATTCAGGTGGTCAAGCCAGACAACCGCGACATGAGTAGCGGGAGTGTCATTGCTGTGATGTTTCCTTCGTGTTTTATGGATCGGGCATCTCGTCGTGATGTTGCACGGATCTGTTCTCTGATAACCACAGTCGCACACTGGAGCGTTTTTTTTGAGTTTCCATTTGGCGTTTTAGTAATGTGACCCTAAGGTATTTATATTGAACATGATTTGGTGATGCTGCGTTGGCAGCGGTGCAGTGGTGAGACCAGAAAGGGAACAGGGGTTCGACTGGCATTCAAATTGAACACCGTTGCAGCTATATTCTTAGCTCTTTCGGTAAAGTCACGTTGAAGGGAAACAATAAAATATATTTATATGTTATATCTATTTTATTATTTTATTGTTTCCCTTCAACGTAACTTTACCGAAAGAGCTAAGAATATGAATTACTGCAGTCACGAAAGCTTTAAACCGTTGCAGCCGTTTGGCCGAGATGAACCTTCACTTAAAAAACATAACTCTATCATTGAGTGCTGGACAAACCTTACCCGTTTTTAGTTTAATTTGATTTATTTTAGCTCTATATATGTGTATCCCACGTTTTTAATTCTCAGATTTCTCCACATCAGAAATGAAGGGTAGGTAAACGTATCAGAAAACACTTTAAAAAAATGTAATTGTCATCAGGTCCCATGGTGTAAAGAGCAGTTACCAATAACCAACTCTTATTATCCATAAGAGGTATTTTTGGGTTAGATAGCACAAATATAAATGTGTCGTTAAACCCGCCACCATCCGATAGCCAATTAGTAAGGTTTGTCACGTAAACAAAACATGCCAATGAGTTACTGGTTCAGCACACCGTTGAGTTGGAGAGTAAACCCACATTGAATTACAACTAGCATCATCAGGCAGACAGCCAGATTTGTGGAGACGTCTATCCTCTTTCCTTCTTAATAGATGGATAAATGTGATGGCATCACTTGTGAGCCAATCAGGTGCGAAGGCCAGAGGTGGCCTCAATATTAATGTGATATGAAGAAGGGGCATTGTGTAAAACATTGCCTATTTTTTGTTATTGTGTATATATAGTTTGCCTTTTCAGGCTAGTGGTTTTGATCAATGTGTTGGCGTCATATATTGCAGTGTTTGTATGGTAGAGGTGTAATGATCCATTAGATTAATCAATATCAGTTATAAGGCTCATGTAGTGCATCACATGTTTAAGAACTGATGTATTTCAATCTTTATATGTTGTTATATGTACCGGCTTTATGTGATCTATTAAATTAAATCGGGACCCTGAATCGTGGCAATGCATTATGAGGGAGTGGGGCGGAGAGGCAATCATGTTATACCGTCATGTGTGTAGGTTTGCGTTCTTGATTTACTATACAGCATTCTCTTATCCAGTGTTGGGTTCTAAATTGCATTTATTGAACGTGTGATTTAAGCATATGGTTATATGTGAAAATAAATGTCCTTTTAAAAATAAATGTTTCTTGTAATACTCGGGGTAAAGCAAAGTCAATTCTAAACATTCTTTATTGTGATACTTGGAGTAAAACCATGCAAATTTGATTACTTTTACAAAGCACGCAGCATTTGGAATTATATGGTTGCATAACTAAAGACATTTCTCCCTGATTGTATAAAAAAAACATTCTAAACTCCCTCTTATAATGTGAAACGCATAAAAAAAAACAAGGCTATCATTAACGAGATATATAAAAGCACCTACTAAAACCACGTTGATTTTGCAATTAATGATGAGCAGCAAAGTAATGGACATGGACAGATATTTACTTTGCTGAGTATTCACCGAATATATATTGCAACGTTTATTCTGGAATTAACAATGTAACATAAAATAATAATTCGCAGAGAATGACTTTTGAAAAACAAAATCAACAAACCTACTTCACATTCCCACCTGCCAGAATAAGTGACAGTTGTATGTGCTGGAAACACTACTACTACCATCATGATGGACAATTATACAATTTCTTCAGCCTGGCTCTTTGCAGTTATGCATGTGTAGAACCCGAGTTAATATGGGCAAACACTAAAATCGTTTGCAATAAATAGGCAATATAATTTCTGTGGGACTCTACTGGCACTGATACTGGTTGTTTATAACCCCTGGCAGTAATATCACTGGGCAGTTCAGAGCCTAATAAATCGAGCGTCTTGGCACGGGGAGTTAATTCCTGCTCCTCTACAAAACTATCGGTTTCATCCTTCTTGACACAACAAGACATCGTTTTTAACACTTTATCGCATTACCTTATCTGCCGAAGGCTGTGGTTGCTTCGCTAGGCTCCGACTTCGCAAGCTACTGCCAGGTAAGTAAAAATTAAGAGCTTGCGTTGGGGTCCAACGCATCTCTCCTACGGTCGCGCGCCTTTGAGATTGCGATGGAAGGGTATTCCGTCGTACACGGTGGCTCTCGGCGGTTACATGAGAACGGCGACCGCGAAAGCGAGAGGGAGCAGCAGGGCTGCAGCCTGGTAGGCTGGCTTGGAAGCCGCCGAGTTCTGACCTTCGGATTGGCTCGGCTTTTCCTCTGTCGGACACAACAATGATCAGTTAGTTCTGCCGTTCAACATGTCAACAATCAATCATTCATTATTCATCAATTACCCGAGTTAAAGCCAACTAAGATTCAGTGCTCATTGTTTTTCTCAATGGAGATTGGA